GCCTCAAGGGATGAGCATGCTCCCAGGCACACCCTGTCTGTGGCCACTGACTCATCCCAACACACGGTGTGCGTACATCCACCCAGGCAGCCCACGCTTGGAGCTGAACCCTGCAGCTGAGGCCACAGGCATCACTTCACTTAACACACACCAGGAGGTGCTCTCCGAACCACAACTTCTCTGCTAAGACCCACTCCCTCTTAATACGGCTTACTGAGCCTGTATAAAAGGGAAGATGGACATGCCCTTGAACAAAGTCGTGGAAGTGGCGTTTTACAGCTGAGTCTGGTCCTGTGGAGATTCTGCCTAAACTCTGAGGGTTTCCTATAATTAGCTCATCCTAGAGAAGAGGAGGTTGACATGATATGCTGTCATTACCACAAATAGCCTGAGGACATAATAACCCTGGCCGAGCAACTATGCCAGAAACCTATAAAACAGCCCCATTTGGGATGGGGATCGCAGCAGCAGCAGCCAATACTCCCTTTCAATATTCAAATCTCTTAATGTCGTCATTGTAAACGATGCATATAAAAAATGATCATGAACAAATTAAAAACTGCACACAGGAGACCACACCGTCCAGTTAACACATAAAACACATCAAAACATACAACACAGAAACATTTATCAAACAGAGAACAGTTTCACTATAGCATATGAATATAATCTGACCCTAATCATAATAATAATTGAAACCAAACCTGATCTCAAAAAGGGGAGAAATATAGTGCCTTGCAAAAGTATTCATCCCCCTTGGCGTTTTTCCTATTTTGTTGCATTACAACCTGTAATTTAAATGGATTTTATTTGGATTTCATGTAATGGACATACACAAAATTGTCCAAATTGGTGAAGTGAAATGAAAATAATAACTTATTTTTTAAAAATCTAAAAAATAAATAGTGGAAAAGTGGTGCGTGCATATGTATTCACCCCTTTTGCTATGAGGCTCTAAATAAGATCTGGTGCAACCAATTACCTTCAGAAGTCACATAATTAGTAAAATAAAGTCCACCTGTGTGCAATCTAAGTGTCACATGATCTCAGTATATATACACCTGTTCAGAAAGGCCCCAGAGTCTGCAACACCACTAAGCAAGGGGCACCACCAAGCAAGCGGCACCATGAAGACCAAGGAGCTCTCCAAACAGGTCAGGGACAAAGTTGTGGAGAAGTACAGATCAGGGTTGGGTTATAAAGAAATATCAGAAACTTTGAACATCCCACGGAACACCATTAAATCCATTATTAAAAAATGGAAAGAAAATGGCACCACAACAAACCTGCCAAGAGAGGGCCGGCCCATCAAAACTCACGGACCAGGCAAGGAGGGCATTAATCAGAGAGGCAACGGAGAGACCAAAGATAACCCTGAAGGAGCTGCAAAGCTCCACAGCGGAGATTGGAGTATCTGTCCATAGGACCACTTTAAGCCGTACACCCCACAGAGCTGGGCTTTATGGAAGAGTGGCCAGAAAAAAGCCATCGCTTAAAGAAAAAAAGAAAGGCATGTGGGAGACTCCCCAAACATATGGAAGAAGGTACTCTGGTCAGATGAGACTAAAATTGAGCTTTTTGGCCATCAAGGAAAACGCTATGTCTGGCGCAAACCCAACCCTTCTCATCACCCCGAGAACAACATCCCCACAGTGAAGCATGGTGGTGGCAGCATCATGCTGTGGGGATGTTTTTCATCGGCAGGGACTGGGAAACTAGTCAGAATTGAAGGAATGATGGATGGCGCCAAATACAGGGAAATTCTTGAGGGAAACCTGTTTCAGTCTTCCAGAGATTTGAGTCTGGGACGGAGGTTCACCTTCCAGCAGGACAATGACCCTAAGCATACTGCTAAAGCAAGACTCAAGTGGTTTAAGGGGAAACATTTAAATGTCTTGGAATGGCCTAGTCAAAGCCTAGACCTCAATCCAATTGAGCATCTGTGGTATGACTTAAAGATTGCTGTACACCAGCGGAACCCATCCAACTTGAAGGAGCTGGAGCAGTTTTGCCTTGAAGAATGGGCAAAAATCCCAGTGGCTAGATGTGCCAAGCTTATAGAGCTGGGGTGAATAGTTATGCACGCTCAAGTTTTCAGTTTTTTGGTCTTACTTCTTAATTGTTTCACACAGAAAGATATTGTGCATCTTCAAAGTGGTAGGCATGTTGTTTAAATCAAGAGACTTTCAGCTGTAATTGCTGCAAAAGGTGGCTCTACAAAGTATTGACTTTGGGGGGGGTGGGGGTGGGGGGGGGGGGGGGGGGGGTGAATAGTTATGCACGCTCAAGTTTTCAGTTTTTGTGTCTTATTTCCTGTTTGTTTCACAATAAAAAATATTTTGCATCTTCATATGATAGTCAGTCTCTTAGTTAAAAGGTGGGAAATACAGTGGTAGAAGTAGGCTTAGGTTTGTAAAAGGAGAGAACATTAAAATCAATAGGGTTTTAGAGATAGAGAGCACTTGCACCCTCCCTGGAGACTGTCTAAGAGACTACCTGACAGGTAACTGTCTGATCATACAGGGCTAAAGGAACCACACAAATGTGTAGGCCAAGAGGTCAGCATGACATCTGACTCAGATCTTAGGTACACAACAAGGACACTCACAGTCATCTTGACATGCAATAGAACTGGCAGGTCCTTACATCATGGTGATGCAGGATGAGATATAGGGGGGGGGGGGGGGGGGGGGGGTTGGGAGTGAGAGAGACGTTTTCCTGTCATCACTGAGAAGGCAGGAGAGTGAAAATGGTCCCCAGGAGTTTAGTTTAGGTCGTGATTAAAAGGGTGCCCTCCCAGTCCTTTTACATTCTCCTGATCTAATAAGTAAATTGCTTTCAATAAAAAAGATTGAATGATTACTTTGCAATTCCTACCACTTTGTAGCTAGTAACACAGTAACACCACTATGACACCATTATATTATAATATATAATATAGCAGTTAGTATTAGAATGATCTTACTACCAAGTCAACTTTGATGTTAAATACTTGACCTATGAGGGTTAGTTTCTGGACATTCTTGTGAATACTAATATAGCTAGCATGATTGCTACTATAATTCATTCCTTCTCAAGAAAAAAGTCTGCAAAACAAGACTGAGCTGTTAGGGCACTACTGACATGTTTTGGAACTAAATACTTCCCGACTCCAGTCCAACTTATCAATACTACAAAACAATGGAGTGAAATGAGAAACAACAAAATAAAAAAGGTAAACACAGATTGTAAATACAGATTTCGGCTACAGGTGTCAAACAATTCAGATCTCAGGTTCGTATTCTCATCTATGATACTGTAGGGACAGTTGAAGTCGGAAGTTTACATACACTTAGGTTGGAGTCATTAAAACTCATTTTTCAACCACTCCACAAATGTCTTGTTAACAAACTATAGTTTTGGCAAGTCGGTTAGGACATCTATTTTGTACATGACACAAGTAATTTTTCCAACAATTGTTTACAGACAGATTATTTCACTTATAATTCACTGTATCACAATTCCAGTGGGTCAGAAGTTTACATACACTAAGTTGACTGTGCCTTTAAACAGCTTGGAAAATTCAGGAAAATTATGTCATGGCTTTAGAAGCTTCTGATAGGCTAATTGACATAATTTGAGTTAATTGGAGGTGTACCTGTGGATGTATTTCAAGGCTTACCTTCAAACTCAGTGCCTCTTTGCTTGACATCATGGGAAAATCAAAAGAAATCAGCCAAGACCTCAGAAAAAATAATTGTAGACCTCCACAAGTCTGGTTCATCCTTGGGAGCAATTTCCAAAAGCCTGAAGGTACCACGTTCATCTGTACAAACAATAGTACGCAAGTATAAACACCATGGGACCACACAGCCATCATCTGTCTCCTAGAGATGAACGTACTTTGGTGCGAAAAATGCAAATCAATCCCAGAACAACAGCAAAGGACCTTGTGAAGATTCAGGAGAAAACAGGTACAAAAGTATCTATATCCAAAGTAAAACGAGTCCTATATCGACATAACCTGAAAGGCCGCTCAGCAAGGAAGAAGCCACTGCTCCAAAACCGCCATAAAAAAGCCAGACTACGGTTTGCAACTGCACATGGGGACAAATATCGTACTTTTTGGAGAAATGTCCTCTGGTCTAATTAAACAAAAATAGAACTGTTTGGCCATAATGACCATCGTTATGTTTGGAGGAAAAAGGGGGTTGCTTGCAAGCCGAAGAACACCATCCAAACCGTGAAGCACGGGGGTGGCAGCATCATGCTGTGGGGGTGCTTTGCTGCAGGAGGGACTGGTGCACTTCACAAAATAGATGGCATCATGAGGAAGGAAAATTATGTGGATATATTGAAGTAACATCTCAAGACATCAGTCAGGAAGTTAAAGCTTGGTCGCAAATGGGTCTTCCAAATGGACAATGACCCCAAGCATACTTCCAAAGTTGTGGCAAAATGGCTTAAGGACAACAAAGTCAAGGTATTGGAGTGGCCATCACAAAGCCCTGACCTCAAACCTATAGAAAATGTGTGGCCAGAACTGAAAAAGCATGTGCGAGCAAGAAGGCCTACAAACCTGACTCAGTTACACCAGCTCTGTCAGGAGGAATGGGCCAAAATTCACCCAACTTATTGTGGGAAGCTTGTGGAAGGCTACCTGAAACGTTTGACCCAAGTTAAACAATTTAAAGGCAATGCTACCAAATACTAATTGAGTGTATGTAAACTTCTGACCCACTGGGAATGTGATGAAAGAAATAAAAGCTGAAATAAATCATTCTCTCTACTATTATTCTGACATTTCACATTCTTAAAATAAAGTGGTGATCCTAACTGACCTAAGACAGATCATTTTTACTAGGATAAAATGTCAGGAATTGTGAAAAACTGAGTTTAAATATATTTGGCTATGGTGTATGTAAACTTCCGACTTCAACTGTATGAGAAAGTGTGGGACTGCAGATACCAGTGTGTAAAAAGTATTTACCACACTGCCAGCAGCGTTTCAGGCAGGGTACCTACTGATGAATGGCTTGGAGGAATTTCCTCTGGTGCTTCCTGACTCTGGCATGGTCCATCTTCCTCACCAGTTTGGTGTTCTTGTAGATGAGCCACGTCTCCCTCAGTACATTTGCAGCTGTGTTTTTCACCTGGCACACAAAGACCATGGTTAGATACAGTGTTCACGGTAAACAAAATACTACTCATGTAATGGAAAACATACTGTACTCATTTTCAACCATGCTTGGTCTTCCTGAAATAGAACACAATGGAGAAACGGGGGAGCTGAGATTATTGTTTCAAATGTTTACATTTTAAACGACATGCAAGTAAAGTATTGACTTACTCTTTTTGTCAGCTGGGTGTCCATCATAAAATTATGAACATGTTTTTCAGCTTTGGTTAACTCCAGTTTCTTTGCAACCACAGCCACCACCAAGGCTGTGCAGCCAGCTCCCTGGGAGGAACAACAAACAGACAGTTATAGGTTGCCTGTATTTAGTCAGTTATTTTTTTTTTTTACCTTACTGGAATAATAGGATATTATGCTATAAATAAAAAGGAAACAGATTCTGACTTCAATATCCTCTGAATATGAATGTATCCACACTGCCACCCCACCAGAGATTTAAAAAAAGAAATATTGGCAGGTAAAAAAAAAAGGTCATAAGACACCTAAGGGCTGGATTTAAAGATATAACCTCATAAGCAGCACTGCAAAAGAGAGCGCAGCTGTGGCATGAGAATGTAATATAATTTCTGCAATAGGGCTCACCATAATACCAGTGAGGAGACAGACTCCTTTTCCACAGTAAGTGTTGGGTACCATGTCCCCATATCCAATGGTTAGAAAAGTGATTGAGATCAACCACATGGCTCCTAGAAAGTTGCTGGTTATGTCCATGTTGTCATGGTATCTGGAATGGAAGGTTCCAAATAAGAGTCAGACTGGAGTCAGCTTGCCAAATAGTTACACGTCTTATACATTATAGAAACATCCATGCCTAATTAATGTGCAGTATAAATAAGGTGTAAACAGATTATCTTATCTTCTAACAAGACGTAAACTATGGGCCATGATTGTCTATCCCTTGACATTTCCAAGCAGAGAATCAGAATTGTGGAGTGAGCACTATATCTGGATGTAAGCCTAAAGTATGACACACAACGAGTTAACGCCTGTTTCCCCAGCAAACCATGATGCCTTATTTATGGTTCATGCAGTGTTTTGTGCAGCATAGCGTGACTGTGATAGGGCAGCAGGTCCAGACCTCTCACAGGCCCTCACGGTCCACGCAGCGATGATCCACAACGAGATGGTAAAGACCAGCAACACGGTGCCAGGGCAGATGGTCATCAGGGTCTTCATTACGAAGCGTGTGTTGAAGTTGATCTTGTTGAGTGCCCCGATGCTGCGGGACGAGGCGTCTGTGAAGAGCTTGCTGTGGAGCAGCATGACACGGGCGATGAGGTACAGCCGCAGGAACATGGGGATGGACAGGATGATGTCCACGTCTGCGTCCGTCTTGGACGGGGTGTATGAGAAGGCCAGGCGCGCTGTCCAGGTGAAGGTGTAGTTCCCTGGGATAGGGTGGATAGCGCACACCAGGATCTCCAGGCAGATGAAGAAGATGCGCTCGTAGGTCATGGCTATCCTCCAGTCATCTGCTGCATTGTCCACCATGAATAACTGAATAACAACATGGATGGAGGGGGAGAGGGAAGCTGATAGAGGTTACTGAACAAGCTCTGGTTAGATGCAGCGTTGCATTTTAATAATGGTGGCATAAGACTAAATTGATCAAAACCATAAACTTTACCACCACACTCAGTCAATGGAAATGCATTAACTCAAGTTAAATAAAGGTTAAATAAAATAAATGTAAAAACCAGTCCCACGATTCAATGCTTCCATCTACCCTGAACTAATGACCTTATTGCCCCCTACCAACAGATCCACCTACCCCTCAGTGTCATTCAGTCAGAGTGACTGTGTTTGTGATCTAGATAAACTACTACTACCCTCTGTCTCTAGGGATGGTGTTCCCTTCTGCCCCTCATCCTTGTAAATACTTCTCTGCAGATGGACTAAACACAATCGAGCCTCTCTACAGTTCCTTTCTACAGTTGACAAATCATTCCCCTCTCTGACACGCAATGCCGATAGTCTGCACTATCCCGATAGTCCAAAATATGCACTCAGCCACTCCCTCCCTGCTCTCAATCACCTCAAGATCTTTGGGTTGTGTACGGGGCCGTCACAACTGGTGGGAAATATTTCACAAAATGTTGCCGTCAGCAAATTTCAGAGAGCTTTCTTTCACTAGGCTATATCCACCGTGACCTCAGCCATTCAATATAAAGGGAAAATACAGCAAATGACAAACCATATTTTAACTGAAGCCATCCTATGATGCTTTGTGATTAAATTAATGGTGCTGCGTCTAGAGACATCTGGTCCTCCAGTGTGTGGGGAATAAGATTATGCAAATCTGTTTTTGATCTTTCTTCTGACTTTTCAAACAACAGTGTTTTCTTCCTGGTTCTGTTTGAGTATCTGTAATTGGTCCTGTAAAGCATGTGCTTCCCATGGCTCCTCCTCTCTATCCCACACATTAGTGATCTGAACCACTAAATAAGAATTAAAGAACATTTTATATTCAGGATAAATTAATCTCAAACAAAAAGAGAAGAAGTCTGAAATCCATCACATATCAGCCAAATGTGTTAGCAGATCAGTCAAAAACACTAGAATGTTTAATAATTCAGATTTCTCTATGAGCACAAAAACGTAGGAGATAAATAAGTGAGGTCACACATTATGACTTGACATCCTGCCAACTAACCCCATTTAGTATAACTCCAGGATCCTCATTAGCGGAAACAAAATGCTGTCCCATTCCTGGAAGCATAATGGGATCAATGACCTAGATCATATATTTAGTGATAATAATACATGACTAAATCTTGAATCGATCAAATAGATATATATTTCCCACTGCCAAAGAAAGCTTTTATTCCACATCTTTACCTCAAGGACACCCTGAAAATAACAAATGGACACCTCCAGGAATTTGTGCTATAGTGCCACCCACACCACAGACACACACGTGCATGCACTGCACATACTACAGCCCTCCAATCCCACAGGCACACTGACACTACAGCCACCTACACCACATTGCCACACAAAGAACATTCCACTCCAACATCCTGGCAAATGTCACACTCTCATTAAAGCTAACCTGCAGGCCAAACGCTTCCCACCGACAGTTACAGGAAATTCGAAGTAGATGTACAAAACACTCCCACGCAACATCTCTACCCAATTCATTCATCAAAACAACACATTTAAAGGTTCCCCCACAAATATCATTTTAAAGCACACAACTAAAGAGCCTGATGCCCATACTTAACAACATCTAGCTCCTTGAGAGCACTGACATCTGTCAGACTCTAAGGCTGAGAGATGCTGTAACACTAACCAGGCTCTCTGTTGGTATATCCCTGCTTGTTAAGCCTTTCCAAGGGAGTGTAACTTAGACATGGAAACACACTGTGTCGTGACAGACGCTATCTTACTCACAGACCTAAGCCATCAAAACAGCCCAAACACAATATCGTCTGCACACAGCACAAAAGCTCTCATTTGAATAAATAATCATGGCAACAACTTCATGTGACAAAAGAAAGTGTTTTGAAAGTTTGTTGCTTTAAAACAATGTAATTAAACATTTAAAACTAGGTTACATAAGAAAAGCCTACTTGGTTGGTAAAAGCAATTATGGTAATGGATGACCTGAAATACAATACTCAAGAGCTCTTTACCTCTCAGCATCAAATATTCCATGCCAGTAGCAGAAGCACTAGTTATGAGGGATGGGGGGTAACTTACATCTGCAGCTGAAAACCTGGAATTATGTATGTGGCATAAGGGACATCAGTCATGTCTCTTTCTATAGTATATCATATGCACATAATTGATAACTTGTCTGGTTTATATCCAGCTAGAATACACGAGACTGAAGGGGTTTATAATAATAATAATATGCCATTTAGCAGACGCTTTTATCCAAAGCGACTTACAGTCATGCGTGCATACATTTTTGTGTATGGGTGGTCCCGGGGTTCGAACCCACTACCTTGGCGTTACAAGCGCCGTGCTCTACCAGCTGAGCTACAGAGGACCACATTATGGCTTACGAAGTTTAAAAGACCCTCAGTGCTACAACAATAGTCCGTCCCATGATCCATGGCCTAATTAAGAGCATACGAGAGAGGGGCCAGGAATAGAAAAAGCCCTGTTGATGAGCCAAACAAACTCTCAGGTCACTTAGCTCAAATCCTGCAGGGCTAAGAGTCATTTCACCCACATAGACCACTGGACCACACACACAAATCATCTTGGAAAATGATATTTATAGGAGAGAGCAACAAAGCACACGTGCGCGCGCGCACACACACACACATTTTATAACAGAGAGAAAGAGCGGTGTTGCTACACATGGTGTCCTACAAGCTGAGCCCCTGCAATGCACAATGATGGTTGGAAACAGAGCGCCAGAGTGACCGATTCTAACCAAGGCCAATCGTTCTTCAAATATAGCCTCCTGGCACGGTCCAGTGGCTGCTCTCAGATGGATGGCTTGTCATCTGATGGATAGTGTTTAATCATTAAGGTGCATTCCTCTGCTCATCATGGGAAAGTTGCACCCGTGTCGGCCGTGGTGTGCCTGTGCCACTGTGCTGACGTTTTTGCCCAGACAACACCATTAAGGATGTCCCGAGGTCATCCCATTCCTCAGTCTCTCTGTCGGTCTTCTTTCCTATATGGGTCATTCTACAGAAGTGGTGTAATTTGAGGGTTGGAATACAATGCACATTCGTATCCTATTTCTCCCAAATATTCAGTACATTTCTTCCAACATACAGTATGTCAGGTAGACATACTGTATACAGTATACTACTCACACACTTTGTTTGTATTGCATATTTGAAATATTTACCTGAATTCCTTACCACCCCACTAAATATAATAGTAAAAAGTTGCAATAAAGGGAGAACCATGCACAGTAGTGATACTTTTGATTAACCTTCTATTACAGATTAATTTGAGACATTTTATTTGCATACCAAATTAACAAAATAGTAAAAACATGCTTTTTAACCAGATTTTCAAAACCTTTAAATTGGAATTTAGAGAAATAGCATCTCTATTGTTTTCTGTAAAATGTTCAATGTTGATTGTATGAATCTGAAACTTGTTGATTGATTGAATAATGTATGTATCTAATTAATTATGTTGTTAGATGTTTAAATGATCACTTTACCTATCTTTATTTGGGCAAAATAACAGGCGTTTCGGTGTCAAGTGTCAATGGAGATAAATAGCGGACTCTAGATGGAATTTTTTTGGGGGGTATAGACTACCATTGAGGCCTTCCACCATTTAAAAGTAGTCAACTGGGTCGGGATTCCTATGGGTTGGGAGAAATCAGCCAATGAAGAATAAGAAAATTGAATACTTTAAAACAGGGGTTGGAACTGGTTCAGGGAACAGAACCGAAAACCGGAAAATAGAGCATTGTCTTCTACAAAGTGGGTTGCCTGTGGTCAGAGAAGAAGAGGCGAAGTGAGAGGTTTTACTCCTCCCATAATCTGTCCACGAAAATAAGCCCACGAAGTGAGGAATTTTGTATGGAGGTCAATGAGAGAGGGTTGAATTTGGTTAGCAAAAAATAGAATTGCTTATTAGCTACATGAGGCTTATCTGATTGAATATAAGTTTTGAAATGGTTAGGTTGTTACGAATTCACTGATATAAGTGGATGCACGTGGCATTTCGTCAATTTACCCAAAAATGACTTTATATCAGAGTTGTGCCTGTTGTCAGAGTCCTAGAGATAAGTAGAGGACTCATCATGGATATAACAAGTTTTAGCATAGACATTGCCATTGAGGGCTTCCACCATTTTAAAGTAGTCAACTGGGTGGGGATTCCTATGAGTTGGGAGAAATCAGCCAATGAAGAATAAGAAAATTGAATACTTTAAAACAGGGGTTGGAACTGGTTCAGGGAACAGAACCGAAAACCGGAAAATAACTACATTTTTAGAGGAACAGAATCAGAACCGCGAACAAAAGTTATCTTATTTTAAAAGCATGGGAACCGGTTAATAACGTTATTTTATGTTCCAGGCATTTTTTCCCGTCGCACAAAAAACGCAACAAAGCTCCTATGCAAAGCCCTCACTCTGTCACTCAGAAACATATTCCTGTGTCTGCCTGCCTGCCAGCTGAAAATCTTTGCCTATGTGTGTGTAGGCAACCCACCCCTCCCCCTCCGGAGCATAGTCTAGTAGCCTACTGACGTTACAAGCGTGACTCAGAAATTAGGGAGATGCATTTTTTATTAGAGAAGAATGGATTAACCTTTTCAATGCTAGTTAAGGATACTATAGTTGGCCTCCTGAGTGGCGCAGTGCCACTAGAGATCCTGGTTTGATTCCAGGCTCTGTCACAGCCGGCCGCGACCGGGAGACCCATGGGACGGCGCACAATTGGCCCAGCGCCGTCCAGGGTAGGGGAGGGTTTGGCCGGCAGGGATGTGTTTTTATTTTAATTCTGGTGCCGCTCTGCACACACAAGCTTGTTAGCAAGCTAGCTAGCTAGTTGGTCCAACGTTAAGCCAACTCTGAAGTTCAAAGACATAGAACTGCTTATCCGTAGGTATAATTCTGTGGGCCTAATTCATATAATGCAAACAACAAAATGCCTCCTCCTCCACCCTCTCTCGCTCTCTCATCTGTCCAATGCATGTAAATAGCTTGCCTGCTCCATAGCAAGCTGCTCTATCTGAAGTAATTTAATGTGGAGCTAAATGTTAAAAAATATATATATATTTCAGAGGTTTAAAAAGGAACAGAAAGGAATTATATAAACCATTACTTTTTGGGCGTTTGAACCCATTCAGAACTTTTTTTGCTGGTCGGAACAGTGGAACCGAATGATAAAAATAATGGTCCTGTTCAGACCGAAACGATTGGAAAATAATTTTGTTTCCAACCCCTGCTTTAAAATATAGATAGCCTCAATGGTGCTGCCCATGCTGTCACAGAGGCTGTAATGGCACAGATACAAAAATGACAATAGACAATCTTTGCTATGGTTTGTAAACCAAAGAGTACGTTTATATCCAGGAGCCAAGACCAAGATTTATACCAGGACATTGGTCCCAAGATCCAGGCCCAGTGAGTTGAGACCATGACAAGTTAAAGACCGAATTTATGTGGTCTTGAGCGGTCTCAAGACCACTAGATCAAGAGTCCATGGTCCCTTTCTTCAATTGTAAGAAACTCAAGTAGAGTAAACTTGAGTATAGCACAGTACAGTAGAGTACAGTACAGTAGGGTACAGTACAGTAAAGTAGAGCACAGTGTAGTGGAGTACAGTATAGTACAGTAGAGTAGGTTACAGTATAGTATAGTAAAGCACAGTACAGTAGAGCACACAACAGTACAGTAGAGTACCGTAGAGTAGGGTACAGCACAGTAGAGTACAGTACAGTATATCACATTATAAATGTCAATATGTTTTGGCCAAATAGATGTCAATGTTTGAGCTGTTGGATGGTTGGAGCCCCACTGCTGGCTATGCATCTCAATACTCAATACTTTTTCCTGAAGTGTGCACTTGTCCACTACACACATGGTGGTCCTCTGTAGATCAGTTGGTAGAGCATGCAACTTCAAATTGGAGATAGCCTCAATGGTGCTGCCCGTGCTGTCACAGACTCCATAATCTCTATGGTGTCAATTGTTTCGGTTGTAACCGTTTCGGTTTGGACAATTTGGACTTATTTTGGACTTTAAAGAATCCCTTTGGCTAACATATGGCTGGCTATCGTTCATTCGGAAAATATTCAGACCACTTTTTCCACATTTTGTTACGTTACAGCCTTATTCTAAAATTGATAAAATTCTATTTTTTCTCATCAATCGACACACAATACCCCATAATGACAAATCGAAAACAGGTTTTTAGAATATTTTGCAAATGTTTTAAACATAAAAACAGAAATACCTTATTTACATAAATATTCAGACTCTTTGCTATGAGACTCGAAATTGAGCTCAGGTGCATCCTGTTTCCATTGATCATCCCTGAGAGGTTTCTACAACTTGATTGGAATCCACCTGTAGTAAATTCAATTGATTGGACATGATTCGGAAAGGCACACACCTGTCTATTTAAGGCCCCACAGTTGACAGTGCATGTCAGAGTAAAAACCAAGCCATGAGGTCGAAATAATTGTCCGTAGAGCTCCGAGACAGGATTGTGTCGAGGCACAGATCTGTGGAAGGGTACCAAAAGAAATGTTTGCAGCATTGAAGGTCCCCAAGAACACAGTGGCCTCCATCATTCTTAAATGGAAGAAGTTTGGAACGACCAAGACTCCTCCTAGAGCTGGCTGCCCGGCCAAACTGAGCAATAGGGGGAGAAGGGCCTTGGTCAGGGAGGTGACCAAGAACCAGATGGTCACTCTAACAGAACTCCAGAGTTCCTCTGTGGAGATGGGAGGACCTTCCAGAAGGACAACCATCTCTGCAGCACTCCACCAATCAGGCCTTTATGGTAGAGTGGCCAGACGGAAGCCACTCCTCAGTAAAAGGCACATGACAGCCCACTTGGAGTTTGCCAAAAGGCACCTAAAGGACTCTCGGTGAAGCATGGTGAATACATATATTTTTTGATATATTAGATGTTTGGTAGTGACACCTCTTAAAAATACATTAAGATTGATCCAATTTGCTCTTTTATTTTCCAAAAATGTTTGCAGACAGACTACTCACCATGTGGCCATAGTCGAGAGGGTTGCAATCCCATCACCTGGTGATATTTGTAGTGTTGTTGCTTAAGGCACATTCATTTTACAGTCTTTTAAAGTGTGTGTTTCGGTAGTGACATCAAAAGTGGGGACAGCATTTTTCAGAGAATAATTAGATCAGTATCTTTCAATGTAATAATATATCAACTCAAGACGTTCTATTGAAATAAGTGTTTTAAAAAATTTAAAAATCATTGATTGCTTTATTTTCAAACATGAAGTTTAGGAGTCAGGGATTGGGACAGCCACCTCTCAATAGAAATAGGTGTATAAACACTGACTTTGAACTATATTAATTTAACAATATGTTTGTTATTGCCTTGGATAGAACTAGAACATATCATGATGTAAATAAATGTCCTACGTTTGGAGACTTAACTGTTTTTTAAATAGTTTTTTTGGGGTGGGACTGCAATTTACACCACTTACATTGAATCACCCATATACTGTATAATAATAATAATAATTTGGTGGGTGCTTATATTTGTCCTATTTCACACATGTACACGTGTGTATTAATACGCATGTGTGAATTGGAAATGTATTTTTTGCATATCCCAACTTCCCCTGAGACACCCTCGGAGAGTAGGGTCACGGCCAGGGTCTGCCATTATCAACAGCGACCCTGGAGCAATTAGGGTTAAGTGCCTTGCTCAAGGGCAAATCAACTAGCAACCTTTCAATTGCTGACCCAACGCTCTAACTGCTAGGCTACCTGCCGCTCCTATAGGAGTTCAACCTGCATTGGTAGCAGCCTGGGTTGGTTACTAGTTTCAGTATGCTCAATATAACTAATGGAGTCCAGCTCAATATTTAATCTGTGTAATGTGGAGATAGGAACATATATCTTGTAACTGAGACAAACAAATCACTCAATTTCATTAGGGAATTAGGTTGAGAGGTTCAGCCCAATAAGAAATTAATGCAATGGTTTATTTATGATATCAAAGTGAGGCACTAAGAGGCCACTTTGCTGAGTAAATCTCAAGCTGTAGGTTACATTTTCTTTGCATCTGAAATCAAGTGATTACTTGACAACATAGTGTAGCATTCAATTGAAATTCAAAAATACACACCCCTATATGAAAAGAGAATATCATAAGTAAATCTCTCTTTGTTTGGATTGCTCTAGCTGGAGACATGTTTCTCATATAAATTATATAACATCTATGTTTCTGATCATATATAGTGCATGGGGTAGCAAACATGATCAATTAATAATCATTTGGATTCTCATCCCGTTCAGAGACAGAGTATCTGTGCCCTTGAAATCCTGTTTGTTCAGTAAAAGCATTGAGGTCACCAGCCAGCAATGGCTATCTGACTCCAGTCTGGCGTCTCAGGTAGAGGACAGATTTCACAGCATCTCCTGCATTAACACCATGGCGTCTAATACAGACACAGAGCAAGCACACACACAGGACACACGCACACCACCCAGGACAAACTAAGCTAGGCAAGGCTGACTTTAGTCACGACAGAATGACAGCTGGGACTCAAATTGGTTGTTATAATAATAGGTTAAGAAAAGGGCTGATTTCTGTGATTACATCAAACTGTACATGGCCACTGTATTGGCCTTTACATAAAAGCCTCTTGGCAAATAAACATTAACACAAGGAGAAACCAAAGTCACATTTCAAAGTGTCCCTCACAGTCCTTTTAAAGTAATCAAATATCTTAGAGAGGGCAAACAACATGCTTAGAGCATTTCTCTTGCTAATATCAATCCTTGAGAGTGACAGTGACAAATCTAAATCAGAGTAGAAACCCAGCTTTCAAGCTGAGCTAAGTTCACACAGCACCCTAGACAGCTGCCTGCCACCAGAGGAAACAAAAGATGCAACTATTATAGATTGCTAGGTGTCACCAAAAGACATATGACGTCTGTATCATACCTTGCACAGATTGTATTACCTGAAATAGCATGTCCTACAACATTTGTAGATGCTTGCTGACGTTTATATCCAGAATAGTGGATAGAAAAACAGAGGATGGCTTCTAATTGCATAGAGAAGTCTGGAGGGTCTCTGAACCTTGAGACATCACACTGAGAAGATGGAGAGAAATCCTATTAATGTACCATGTCACCAATCATTGCAATCTTAATGTACAAGGTGTGTCCCCTAAGCCTCCCCATGACAGTCTATGTCCAAGAGATGTCCTCTGACTGACCTTGGGACATTTCAGACACTAAAAACAAAAGGAGTGTCCCTATACTGTCAAAGCATCCCAAAAAGCGTGGAAGTCAACTCTTTCCAGTTTATACAGTTTGGACAAGTAGATTACTTTCAAGGAGCTAGTGTAGAGTGTGGGCACCTCTCTTCAGTCTGAACTATGCAACTATATTTGACAGGCATCTGTGAGTACAGATGGATGTGCATGCATAATCTATCTCACTGAGGATGGAAAACAGCCCATACAAAGAGAAGGATAGGGTGCAAGCTCTGTGCTAGAGAGATATACCAATACTACCACTACAGATACAGCTGCAAGCAGCAATAAAAGAGCCATTGAGTGGGGCCACAACCTGGGTGACTAAGGATATTGTTGAGTAATAATATAGCTGCAAACAGTAGATATGGAATTTAAGTGAGAGTCACTAGCCAAGGTGAACAAGGTGAGAATTTCTATATTGAGTCATATACCAGTCTGAATAAGACTGGAGGATATGAAAATCAAATAACTGAATGTAAGCCACACGTATCAATCTGATATTTATAATATAAACAAACATATTGCAACCCATTTAACTTTGAAAATAATATCACTGAGCCAAAACAACCCTCAGCATATTTGTGCTTTTACCATAATCGCAATAGTCATTCACAATATTGCATTCCCTTTGATGTTGTCAAACAAATTGTTTGAGTCATGGAATCTCAATAAATGTGTGTCTAGAAATACAAAGGGCTGACAACTAAGTAAGAACCATGGAAATGATACCATCTTGGAAGTTGACACTTTACACTATAGAGAACCATTGCTGAGGCAATGTAAATGGTTTTGATCAATATGGTCATGATCAATAAAACTGTTCTATCATCCCTTGCAGCAAAGAAGGCTTTACAGTAGGCCATTTGAAAGGTAGACACGTTTTACTGTTGAGCAATTGTAATGATTGATATCCCTCTGGGGGCTTTTAAATCCTAAATATAAATGTATGCTAATAGATAACAGGCCGTTGTAATTCAACAATGCACAAGATAATGAGCTAGTGGCCTATTCAGACATGGGACCTATGAGTTCTACTACAACACTGAACCCTAATATGGTCATGAGGAAAAGTATTGATTATTTCATGGACTTGACACAAGTCATTTGAGAATGACAGGATTTCCCTTCCACATCATCCTTGTCGCTACATGAGGTTTATCTACATTGGTATTTGAAAATATCTAGATAACCTTCATGTTTTCTCGCTGTTTCAAAGAAAAGAGCCTGCATAAGAAGAGTGTTTGGACGTTCTAATAATAATTAGGTGGGTGCTTATATTTCACAATAGGACAAGTTATATTATATATTATATTTTTTTGCATATCCCAACTCCCCCTGAAACACCCTCTGAGAGTGGGGTCACGACCAGGGTCTGCCATTATTACTGCCGACCATGGAACAAATAAGGAAAGTGCCTAGCTCAAGTGCATATCGACAGATTTTCACCTTGTCGGCTCGGGGATTCGAACTAGCGACCTTCTAGTTACTAGCCCAACGCTCTAACCGCTAGGCTATCTCCCGCCCAATGCAGCCTCAGCAAGGTTAAAGAAAATGCCTGGCATAGGCAAATGTATTTCTTCTCTGGTCAATTTCATTAACGTGGAGCAACGTAATGGGTTCCTGACCAGACTATACCTCTTGATGAGGACCACCATTGAGGGAGCACCATAATTTTTTTTATAACGTGGTTCTACAACCAAGACATAAGTGCTGAATTGCAGGAAGAAAAACACGGTAAGTAAAGCAACAATGCTCTGACACAAGGTCATAAAATGTTGTTTTGTTCAAGTGCTGGAACTATTCAATGAAGCTGACAATCCAGATCAGTTAACCCCTGGAGGTTTCGAAGATGCAGGAGACAACCTTGAGATGCAAGTGCCAGCCACTATCATAGTAAAATATTGATTTGGCTCAGAGTGGGCAATGAATGACATTCCATAAGAGCAAAATACAAATGCATTATTTGATTACAAAGTCTCCAATGACAAGGAAAATATAAACAATGGAGCAATAGTGTTTTGGTTAGATAAGGTAAGACACTTGTACTAACCTCATTAAGGTGTTTATAAGTCATATATTTCAAGGGGTATATTTTATTACTGTTAATTACCAGAAGTCTTAAAGCTTTACAGCTTAACTTTTCAAGGCATGGGTCAACATGTCAGTAAAATGATTTCATGCCATAATTAGATTATGTCACCCGTTAAAGAGGAAATGTAGGCCTACTTAATTTGGAAACAATCCACTTAATTTCAGAGTAATTGCACTCAGTGAAGTCAATGAAGGCACTGCACTGACCAGTATATAAGACATGTATATTAGACCTGTATACAAGACCTGTATATTAGACTTGTATTTTAGACCTGTATTTTAGATCTGTATTTTAGACCTGTATATTAGACCTGTATATTAGACCTGTATATTAGACCTGTATATTAGACCTGTACATTAGACCTGTATATTAGACCTGTATATTAGACCTGTATATAAGACCTATATTTTAGACCTGTATATTAGACCTGTATATAAGACCTGTATATAAGACCTGTACATTAGACCTGTACATTAGACCTGTACAATAGACCTGTACATTAGACCTGTATATTAGACCTGTACATTATACCTGTACATCAGACCTGTACATTAGACCTGTACATTAGACCTGTATATTAGACCTGTATATCAGACCTGTATATTAGACCTGTATATTAGACCTGTATATTAGACCTGTATATCAGACCTGTATATTAGACCTGTATATTAGACCTGTATATTAGACCTGTATATTAGACCTGTATATTAGACCTGTATATTAGACCTGTACATTAGACCTGTATATTAGACCTGTATTTTGAAAGAAAGAAAGAAAAAAAAACATATTGTAAAGTGGTTATCCCACTGGCTATAAGGTGAATGCACCAATTTGTAAGTCGCTCTGGATAAGAGCGTCTGCTAAATGACGTAAATGTAAATTTATTTTAGACCTGTATATTAGACCTGTACATTAGACCTGTACTTTAGACCTGTACATTAGACCTGTATATTAGACCTGTATATTAGACCTGTATATTAGACCTGTATATAAGACCTGTATATAAGACCTGTATATCAGACCTGTATATTAGACCTGTATATTAGACCTGTATATTAGACCTGTATATAAGACCTTTATATAAGACCTGTATATTAGACCTGTACTTTAGACCTGTATATAAGACCTGTATATAAGACCTGTATATTAGACCTGTACATAAGACCTGTATATTAGACCTGTATATTAGACCTGTATATTACATCTGTATATTAGACCTGTATATTAGACCTGTAGATTAGACGTGTACATTAGACCTGTACATTAGACCTGTATATTAGACCTGTATATAAGACCTGTATATAAGACATGTATATTAGACCTGAATATTAGACCTGTATATTAGACCTGTATATAAGACATGTATATTAGACCTGTATATTATACATGTATATTAGACCTGTAGATTAGACCTGTATATTAGACATGTATATTAGACCTGTAGATTAGACCTGTATATTAGACATGTATATTAGACCTGTATCTAACTGCATTCTCATGTTTCTTTTCTTTTTTTCTTCTCTCGCATTTCACGTGTTTTACGTCCCATCTATATTACTACCTTTACTGTGCATTGTTGGGAAAGAGCTCACAAGTTAAGCATTTCACTGTACTGTTTTATACCTGCTGTATCCTGTGCATGTGACAATAAAACTTGAAACTTAAGTCGATTGAGCACATCAATGTCTTGAATACAATTATTCTGCAAACTCGCACGCATACTGACAGGAAATGACAGTATAATAACACGTATGACACTATTATAACCATAGTTAACATCTAGGGATGTTAATGACAATGACATGAAAAATAACCATGTTACCTGAATTTCCCTTGCGTGGTATATGATAACCAGACCAAGGAGAATGATTGTAGAAAGGCTTATCAGGCATTTTAGAGCTAATGAATACAAGGACTCCTGTAAAAGAAAAATAGCAATAGTAATACAACACATGTATTCATGCAACAAACAGTACTACTCTTTAAAAAAATAAAACGAAGATTCTTCTGTATTGAATCCTTATAAATTAAGAAAATGTCAAGACACTCAAAAATAAAACATGTAAGGTACGCCTATATATTGGATTTGCACATAGTTCAATATAGTACAAGGCTATATTAGTAAACCCTATCTAAATGCTCTTAACGCTTGGGATACCATGTGTCACTATGTCAATGGAGCATGTAAACTCACCTGGACTAAAAGATCGAGAACCTATCCAGCCATGCAAGGTATGGCTGATTGCATGGTTTACGGGATAAATCTTCAGTCTTCACTGTCTAAATATTTGATTTGTAAATAAAACAAGGCGACTATGCTACTACTGGTTTAAACCACTTTAAAATCAAACTTGCTGTTTTTCCTGGTCCACACAACATGCCAGTCAATTAATTCTACCGACCTAGATGTAACTGCACTGTACCGGGATTGAGTTGAATACGCACCTTTCCATAGGCTCCCCATGAGAGTTCAGTCTCTATAACCATAACAACGATCCCAAACATCCCAAAGATCAAAGCATAGTCGCTGAGGCGCTTCCTTTTCTCAAACAAGGCCCTTCTATGTCCAAGCTTTTGCCCAATGTTCTGGTTCTTCTTTTTACCCGATTTACTGCCACTGTTGTTACATCCACCCCCTCCGTCTCCGGATGCGTAAGGCATCAGGGTGGTCGAATTGTTCTCTGGTTTAGATGCTAGGGTGTCGGACGCATCTGCGGTGGAGATTGGTTGTAAAGGCTGGGACTCTGAATCAAACTCGTGTAGGTTTCTGCGGGACGAGCTCAAGTTGCTCAGCGGCCGCATTACGCCGCCGTTGTATCTGCAGCTGCTCATGGTTATTTCGTTATACGAGTTACTCTCTTTGTGGCTGCTGCTCGGGCTGCCCCGCTGCGGATTGTGGCAGTGCTGATGGTGGTGATGTCTGGATGAACTACCATGACTGGAGGGCGTGAACTCACAGACGCTAAATTGACAACCTTGTCTCGAAGACGTTACGGATGGTGTCTTTAAAGTTCCTTGAGTGGTCGGCGACGTCCCGCGAAAAACTAGGCTTTTTCTTGCATCACAGGTACAGTTATTACAGGTGCAGCATTGGTTGCGCTGTTTAGTGAACCGTTCCTCTCGTCTGCAGTAGTGCTGATACTTACAGTGATGCTGGAACTGCTGCTCTTGAAAGAAATCGTTCTTCAACTGCAATGGGGTTTCCATGTCAGTGCTGCTGTTTAAAGCAGCAGTCGGGTACCACCATGCACCCGCCGAAGGGCGTTGTGGTAGGTAAAGGAGGACAGCTACAGAGCAAGATTAGACACATTTCGGCTCCTGTAGAATGTAAGCGATGCCTCCGATTGGATAGACAGGACCAACACAACTGTCTTGACGTCATTGAAAAGGTTGCAACATCTTTTCGAATATTCATCCAAGGAAAGTAGCATGTCAGTAGAGAAAAAAACTATCTTACAAGTGAGACTGCTGAGACTGCTCATGATGAGGAATAAATTCCTTGAGGGTGAAATATTAGGTTATTCCATAGGCTCCTAAACTAAGCCTACTGTACATTGGACCTCTCACCAATGTTCACACTGATGTTCCACTGTAATGTAACAGTGGGGTAGCCTACCATGTACACTAAAACAAATGTGTTAAACAACTCATATTATGTATTTTTTGGTGTACACAATGTCTATGTGGGTGCCAAAAAAAATGAAAACTTGGATTACATTGAAAATGCACATATATCCATTGCATTCATGAAATAACAACCAAAACAATGTAAAGCCTTATAAAGATGTAGCCTAAAAGATAGCACTGGAGTTTTTTCATCATCCAATATTATTCTGGTTAAAATACCTTTTATCAGCATGCACTATTTTAGGCTGGTGTTGAAGGTAAGCGATAATAATAATGCAAACATGTTTTGTGCATTTTATGTAGCCTAGCCTACTGACACAGATAAGTCACCAGAGGATTTTGGCGGTGGTGGGTTTGAATGGGCTCACTGGCTGCCGCACTGAATACCGCAGTCGAAAGCACGTCACGGCTCTATAAAAATGTTGATGGTAAACGGGCAACGTCAGCACCATAGGAAAAAACCTTTTGTCACCATGAATGACCCATGCCAATGTCTATGTATTTTGCTAATGAACAGCTAAATTGTGTTAATGTCTCTCTCATTATCTACAAAAAATCAACTGCTGCCAAGACTGGCACTTGGACACATTTGGGAGCCCAAAAATATACCCCACTCCTGGGATAGGATAATATATTGGAGATAATATATTGGAGATAATATATTGGAGATAATATAGCCTATTATTTTTAAGCAGTTTATGTTTAAACAACCAAACCTCTCAATTAATCAAGTGTTTGTTACTAGGGCTAATCCTGTAGCCTACTCTTGAACATGGACAGTGATAGGTTGACTAGTTGCTTATTCCAGATTAGTTACAATTACATTATTCAGGATATAATACATTGTTCACGGTCAGAATAGAACACATGCTATAGTATCACTCAAAACCCATTGTCTATTATTTTATCAATCCGTAGTAGGCAGCCTATGCGTAGCGGATGTGCTGATTGATCCACTCAAGATGTTGGAGGTGGATATTAAATTCAAAAGGTATGTGCCTGTTCATCTTGGTTACAATTATTGGTCACAGACCATGTGACTTGCAATCCAGCCAGACTGAGGGCAGCCGTCTGAAACCTCAGATTGACGTGATCACTGGTGGCGTTGTTATTAATGGAGTGGAGGAGTTCTCTCACCCGGAGGAAATATAGGTAACTGCTCGAAATTGAGCATCTGGGGAGCCATAAAGCAAAGCCTGAACCCAATCATCCACAAGTCTCGGGTGCAGCTGCAACCACAAATTATTATAAAATGTGTTTTAAAGTATTTTTTAAACATCCAACATCTTAGTTCTCTCAAACTAGGCCTAATATTGTATTTTCTAAATCCTGAATCAGAATCCTGCCTGTTTAGGCTATCTGGTTGAAATAGACTATTCAAATAATTGTGGGGCTCAATATATAGTAGACTACGTGGTTAATAAAACTCCAATCCCCTCTCGAATTATGAAGGGATCTCCAGTTTAAATCAATTAACCTACGCACCAGTGACTCCAAATCTTGAAATGAGGGGAGCTGTCCAAGGTCCTGAAGAAAAGTAACCTACATCTGTCACCTACAGACTATGTTGTCCCTTTAAATTATTTATTATTATTTTATTTTACACGGGATCGCAATGCGCACTTGTCTCTGATTGGCTGGCCAGACTGCCCACGTGCCGTTTTCGGAATTCGTCGGAAACAAAGTTGCTAGCTAGCTAGCTATTTTAGCAATGAAATGTAACGAAGCGTTGTAAATATGTTTATGTAATCAGTAAAGAGGACGCCTGATGGCAAGAATGTAGCTAGCTATCTTACGAGTCTAGGTCAGAGGTAGAATAATTCACGTGCACGTTGCAGAACGCATCTTGCATGCATTAATTAGCGTCGTTAGCAGCATCTATCTCCATACGCGGATTGCAAGGTAGCTAGCTAGCTAATCAGCGTCAATCGAAAAACAAAAGAACGTTTGAAATCCTCTCTGGTGAAGGATCCATTAGCTAGATTGCTATTCTTGCCGACAGCGAACGGTCATGTAGGCCGGCTTGTTTGATTTCACGATGATGCTTGTTAGCTCGAACACATATTTAACATTCGACTGCAGCTACCGTAGTCAATTGTTGTGAGCTCATTTTGATAGGATAATACTGTAGCAGCTAACTGAATCGAAGAATATTACAATGAGGAATCAAAGAAGATTTATCAACCATAACACAGACTCAGTGAATGAAGATCCCACGGGGCAGCAAACGCATGGTAATAGAGCACACTTACGGTTTTGTCTAGGACACAGCTTTGGTCAAAATTTACTTTTCGTGGCAGGTTAGGAGAATTAGGAAAATAGTTAAGGTTACCTAACATGCACATTTGGACGTCAATTGGACAAAAGCTGTATCCCTTCTAGACATGACCCTTGCTTACATAGACCACACATTTATTCAAGAATTTCCGGTTGGGGTTCGCAAAGGTGGTCCCTGTAGTGCCTGATACCAGACCCAGTATTGACACTGGGATGTAAACCAAGACATGTTTGGACAATATTTACTCATATAGAAACCCCAACCAAGACCAACTACCTAACAAAATAAGGCGTCTTCTCGCCAAATAGTCAACATGCCCACCCAGCTCCCACAGTAGGCACTTTTGTGTTGAGTCTTTTTGCTTTGACATTTTTCACTTGCAGAGACTGTTGTCCCGGAGACCCCAGAGCTCAAACGTCCCCCAGGGCCTGGATCAGTGAGAGGCATGGACAGTGTGGTACTAGACTCTGATTCAGATGAGGAGATATCAGGGTCCTCCATGATGTTGTCGGGGAAGTAAGTTAGTTGCTACCAAACTCATCTAAATAATGTAGATCAGACTACACCACTCTAGGTTTACACAGGGTCGAGAAAAGCACATGTATTAGCATATATCATCAAGATTCTACTAAGTTTACCTGGCTCCATCCTTCTTACCTGCACCATGCCTTCAACACAATGCATGTACAAGTGATTAGGGGGATTTGTCACACCTGTGACATACTAATAGGCAGGTGGATGTACTGGTGCCATACACATTGGTCACATACAGTGAGTGCTTGACTTGTGCAGGAGCTCACTAGAGCTGAGTACCGGATCCTCAATTGTTCTACTGCTTGAGCTCCTGTTCCTCTTATAGAATATTAGCTCAACAGTATTGTGGAGCTCCTGCACCTAAATATAAACAGTACCGGCACCCAAATTGAGGGACCTATTTCAGTCCAAGTCAAGGACTGGACACATACACACACTAATCAAAATCGTGAGGAAATGTTTTTAATGATTCAAGACTCATGTTTTCTTTGATAAAGGAGTCTGGAAAAGGAACCAGTTATGGGTGCTGTTATCATACTGTCAGATGAGGAGGGAGAGGTGGAGATGAAAACTACTCTACAGAGAAATGGCGGCCAGCTCCCCAAAAACATATCGGGAAGTCAAGGTAAGGGTTCATTCATCTTATCCCTGGCCTTAATACTTGCTGTTGCACAATTACATTCACAGTGGTGCAAACAATACTATTGAATGGAATGGAATCTGCTGTTTCATGTTCTGTAGCCTGCTCTGTGACATGGAGGTCAATGAGTTAGTGAAACGTTAGCCCATTCATAGATGCTAACAACCTTTAGTGCCTATTGACGATAGTATTGCTTATTCTAAACATTAACACGCATCGCTTGCGGTACAGTTTTGGAAACATAAGGTTAAATTACTACACACCTTTTTATAGGGTTAGGGTTCACACACAGCCATATTTCCATGTTACAGCGCTTGTTTACGGAAAACAGAAGGAAGACAGTGGACTACCTGTGTTAATTAGCTATCTCTGAACACCTGTGTGTGTAACGGAAGAAGGACGCCAGAAACGTGTTTAACTGTGTTAAAACTGGTTAAAACAGTGTACAGTAAGTGTATATTTTACATTTGTGAAATTACATTACTTTGATGTGCTATGAAAGTAGAGGGCTTTATGTTTCTAGAACCGTATCAATGAGAATCGATTCACTTTTTATATGGCTTTTTTGGTTGCCAGAGCCAGTTTACCTCTGAATATAACATATAAGGTCCATGGATGTTAAAGGAGTAGGCTTTAACAGTACATTCTTGGGTTAGTGAAACATGAACATGAAAAGTACATTTAACTGAGAAGTGCAGGACATACCTTGAATTAATCTCTGGGGCTTCTATTCCCAGCACCACAAACTAGATGCAGTGTGGTGTTGTTCGTGCTGTGTTAATATGCCCCCTTAATGTCCTGGTTTAGACCCAGACCGTAAGAGGAGACTAGAGGTGTGTGACAGCTCCCAGCAGAGTGGGACATCCAACTCCAGCAAGAAACCAGCCCTCGAGGAGGATTCAGTGGTGAGTCCACCTGTCTGCACTCCTATCCAGCCTCCCTGACACCCCAAACCAGGGTGTGGGGGGGGTGCATATTCAGTTTACACCTGACATGTGAGTCATCTGTGTTGAGCTAGAGATTTACTAAAGCAATTAAGCTAAAGTGCCACGCTCAAGGGTACAAGAGCTGCATGCCCCACCTGAGATTTCGACCTCCAGGTTACCAGTTTATTACCCTGGCCAAGATGATGTACTGCCACCCTGCTTGTTCATGTATTATTTGTCATCTCCAGTACAGAGGGGGTAGGCTTGCGTGGGGATGAGCTCACACTCTAATTGGTCTGTCTGCCTTGGGACTTCATGCGCCAATGTGTTTCTGTTCCGCCAGACAGATGATTCTGAGGATGAGGGTCCAGAGCCCAGCTGGAAGAGCCAGGAGGACATGGTGAGGAAACTGCAGACTAAGTTTCCCCGTCTGGTCAAGGAGGTGAGGCTTCCATTGGCTGTAGAATTCCACTCTGCCAACAACAGGCCCTGTGTTCTGTCACTGCAGTTCCACAACACATTCATCAGTGCCTTAAATGTTGGCAAATGTGAACTAATATTGTTTGAAATGAGTGGGAGTTGCATATTAACGTTTCATATGAATAATTTATTTTGACAAAAAGGTGTTTTGTTGTTTACGACTATCTGTTTGTCTTATCCTGCATACACATAGGAGCTTAGAGAAGTGCTTCTCGAGCATGATTGGCACTTTGAGGACACCCTAGAAGCACTGCGCATGTTTTCCGAGGAGGGTGAGAGTTTTGTGTTTCATGGTGTGTGTCTCTCTGTCTGCATGTGTTTCTATGTGTGCCTGTTCTTGAGTGAATCCGTTTATACAAAACCAAAACATTATTTTAGGTAGCTAGTTAAGTCCCTGGCTGTCTTGCAGCCATATAGTTTCCTTTGTTTCCTACGTTGTTTTAAGGCAATGTACACTACCAGTCAAAAGTTTGGACACACCTACTCATTCAAGGGTTCTTCTTTATTTTTACTATTTTTTACATTGTAGAATAATAGTGAAGACATCAAAACTATGAAATAACACATGGAATCATGTAGTAACCAAAAAAGTGTTAAACAAATGAAAATATATTTTATAGTTGAGATTCTTCAATTAGCCACCCTTTGCCTTGATGACAGCTTTGCACACTTTTGGCATTCTCTCAACCAGCTTCATGAGGTAGTCACCTGGAATGCATTTCAATTAACAGGTGACCCTTCTTAAAAGTTAATTTGTGGAATTTCTTTCCTTATTAATGCGTTTGAGCCAATCAGTTGTGTTGTGACAAGGTAGGGGTGGTATACAGAATATAGCCCTATTTGGTAAAAGACCAAGTCCATATTATGGCAAGAACAGCTCAAATAAGCAAAGAGAAACGATAGTCCATCATTACTTTAAGACATGAAGGTCAGTCAATACGGAACATTTCAAGAAATGTGAACGTTTCTTCAAGTGCAGTCACAGAAACCATCAAGTGCTATGATGAAACTGGCTCTCATGAGGACCGCCACAGGAATGGAAGACCCAGAGTTACCTCTGCTGCAGATGATACGTTCAATAGAGTTACCAGCCTCAGAAATTGCAGCCCAAATAAATGCTTCACAGAGTTCAAGTAACACACATCTCAACATCAACTGTTCAGAGGGCACTGTGTGAATCAGGCCTTCATGGTCGAATTGCTGCAAAGAAACCACTACTAAAGGACACCAATAAAAAGAAAAGACCTGCTTGGGCCAAGAAACACGAGCAATGGACATTAGACCGGTGGAAATGTGTCCTTTGGTCTGGAGTCTAAATTGGAGATTTTTGGTTACAACCGCCGTGTCTTTGTGAGACGCGGTGTGGGTGAACGGATGATCTCTGCATGTGTAGTTCCCACCATGAAGCATGGAGGAGGTGGTGTTATGGTGGGGGGGGGGTCCTTTGCTGGTGACACTGTCTGTGATTTATTTAGAATTCAAGGCACACTTAACCAGCATGGCTACCACAGCATTCTGCAGCGATATGCCATCCCATCTGGTTTGGGCTTAGTGGGACTATCATTTGTTTTTCAACAGGACAATGACCCAACACACCTCCAGGCTGTGTAAGGGCTATTTTACCAAGAAGGAGAGTGATGGAGTGCTGCATCAGATGACCTGGCTTCCACAATCCCCCGACCTCAGCCCAATTGAGATGGTTTTGGATGAGTTGGACCGCAGAGAGAAGGAAAAGCAGCCAACAAGTGCTCAGCATATGTGGGAACTCCTTCAAGACTGTTGGAAAAGGATTCCAGATGAAGCTGGTTGAGAGAATGCCAAGAGTGTGCAAAGCTGTCATCAAGGCAAAGGGTGGCTATTTGAAGAATCTTAAATATAAAATATATTATGATTTGTTTAACACTTTTTTGGTTACTACATGATTCCATATGTGTTATTTAATAGTTTTGATGTCTTCACTATTATTCTACAATGTAGAAAATAGTAAAAATAAAGAAAAACCCTTGAAGAAGTAGGTGTGTCCAAAATGTTGACTGGTACTGTATATACTGTAGGTAGCCCAACATCCCTCCCAGGACCTGCAGGCTGATTCTGTTTCCTTCATCAGGGGAGAGGTCCAGTCAAGGGGACACTCAGGCATCATCATCAGCTAGTTCAGCTCCCCAAACCTCAGCACGTCAGGCAGCCCCAGCAGCCAAACCCCCTGGTCGTCCCACATCACTACCTCACAAGCCTACCATTGGGACCGTAGATAAGACCATCAATAGGCCGACTAAAGGAGCAGACAGAAGGAGGAGGGTGATTCCAGAGCCAGGCACCAGCTCTGAGGACGAGGCCAGTGATGACTTTGATGAGTCTGCTGAGGGCATGAAGCTGAACTCTGATGACTCGGGCTCAGATCAGGAGGTTGGAACAGGGTCTATTGTGAAGGGCCAGATCCTCAGGTTCTTCCAGGAGGCATCGCTGGACGAGCTGTCTCTCATCTCTGGCTGCTCTGTGAAGAAGGCTCAGAGGATTGTCGAGCTGCGCCCATTTAACGAGTGGGAGGATCTGGTGAGTGGCATAACGAACTTGTGTGCATGGGTATGTGCACACACACACACACACACACACACACACTTGTGAGTGTATAAGATGTTTTCTTTTCAGCATGATTCATTACTGAATGCACAGTGTTACTATGACCTCTCCAGGTTCCAATTGAAGCCTTACCAGCTAGCTAATTGGTCTAAGTTGGCTGACTCGGCTACATCAGAACAACCTGAGCGTAACCTTGTGTGGATAAAAGATTGTGTGTGTGTGACCCCAGGTGGATGCTCTCGACAGAGGGAACGGCCTGTCCACTGATCTGGTGCAGGGCTGCCGTGTGGTCCTGAGAGAACGGGACGTCGTGCGCAGCCTCATGACCAAGTGTGAGAAAATCACCAACAAGATGATGCAGGACGTGACCCAAGTAGTGGAGCGGGACAAGGGTTCCCAGAAACAGCCCGAGATCCTCAACAGCAAGTGGGTTTAGCTGCTGTTTTTATACTAATCTGACACACACGTTCAGATAGTTATGTAGTATGATTTTCGTCGAAAACACAATCTCATACATGTACATAGGCAGTCTTGAACACTATTTTCATCATTACTGAGTTCCCTGTGTTAATATGACCTCTCCAGATACCAGTTGAAGCCTTATCAGCTCATTGGTCAAAATTGGCTGACCCTGCTACATCAGAACAACCTGAGTGGAATCCTTGCTGATGAGATGGTGAGTTGTTATTCCTGACCAGTCTCCAACAGCTTATTTCAGATCCTCTTAATCCTGTGGTAATGTGATTGGGAAGCAGGCATCTCTTTTTGTTGTACCAAGTCGGTCTCTGAAAAGTAGAGTGTTTGTAATGCACCACCTCCTGTCTTTTGTTGGCAGGGTTTGGGGAAGACCATCCAGGCCATCTCATTCCTGGCCAGCCTGTACCAGGAGGGCAATAAGGGCCCACATCTCCTCACTGTACCTGCCTCCACACTGGGTGAGCTTTGGGAGTCGTGCTGCACACAGAGATTTTATGGTGCCTTGAGATCTGCATAGATAAAATATTAAAGTGTGACTTTACTATCTTTTTAAGATGTCTTTTTACAATCTGTGAAGGTTTTTTAACAGATTTTGCTTCTCTGTTGCAGATAATTGGGTACGGGAGCTGAATCTGTGGTGTCCCAGGCTCAAAGTCCTGGTGTACTATGGTGAGTGAATCTTCTATTCATTCTGAATGGCGTGACTCATCATACTGTAGTTGTCATGGGTCAGGCTTTATGTTTATTTGATTATACAGACTTCAACCCGTTGGTTTTAGTCACCATAAGTGACAGAATTACTAAATATAGATACAGTCTAGATGGTCCTATTTATATTGTGTGTGTGTTTAGGGTCTGTGGAGGATCGCAAGTACCTTCGATATGATATTCTCAACAAACAGGTCGACTACAACATCATCATTTCCACGTAAGTCTAAAATCTGAGAATGACTGTTATGCAAGAATGAGGAAAAAAATATGTTGATGTGCCCTTGAGCAAGGCACTTAACTCTAATTGCTCTGGATAAGAGTGTCTGCTAAGTGTTTAAAAATAATAATAATAATATGCACGGAACTGCACTTGAGTCTAGTATTCTACAGGTTCACATCCTACTGTCTTAGCTACTGTGTGTCTTCTGAGCAAGACACTTAGCCCTAAGTGCCTCAGGTAATATCTAGCAGAATTAGTGGCGATCTTATAAAACCGTCAGCCATGTAAGTCACCTTGGCTGGGCTTCTGCTAACACGATAATATATTCAGGGTTTGACTAAACCTGAAAAGTTCCTCGTAAACTGGACCTGTGACTCATTCATACTTCATGGTAATCAAGCGATTGCCATGCCTCACAGACTACTTGTGAGGATCTTGTGTGTTTGGTATGGCTCCTTGAGCTGCTCTGTTTCTGCTGCTAGGTACGCTCTCACCACCAGCAATGACAACGACCGCAGCCTGTTCCGAAAGCTCAAACTGGAGTATGCTGTGTTCGATGAGGGCCACATGCTGAAGAACATGAGCTCGCTGCGCTACCGCCACCTCATGGCCATCAACGTAAGTACATTGCGGGGGTTGGGGGGGGCTGGGTCACCTTGGTTGATGCGATAATGATTTTAAGATAAGTCTTAACTTTAGCCGGTAAACTGTTCCTCTACCTGCCTGAACAATGTCTTGTTTATCTCCTGTGAGTCACCCCACTTTCTTCCTTTTCACTGCAGTGCATTCTGATACCTTTTGTAAAATGGTGCTATACAATGCACTATATTAATCGAATCAGATTTGATTTTGATGTGATCTCAGGCCAAGTACCGTCTGCTGCTGACTGGGACCCCAGTGCAGAATAACCTCCTGGAGCTCATGTCCCTGCTCAACTTCATCATGCCCAATATGTTCTCCAGCAGCACTGCACAGCTCGCCAATATGTTTGCCATGGTGAGGCTAGAACACGTGCTCTATGGGATCACTCCAAAATATTCATCTTAGTATGCAGCAAGTTTGACTCATCCAGTCAAAAAGTCTAGCTAAATAAGCCCACTGACTATGCTAAGATTTCCTTTGAATAGATTGAATCTTTTATTTCCTATTAGAAATCATCAGAGGAGCAGAGCAGCTTTGAGATGGAGAGGATTGCTCATGCCAAACTCATCATGAAACCCTTCATCCTCAGACGTGTCAAGAGTGAGGTAAGGAACCGCTCAGTCTAAACTCATTACCAGATAGGGTTATGGCATGACTTGGGACAGTGATACTCTACCACAGTGATATATACTCATGGTTCATTTTGAGTTCTACTGTGCTATATTCCCTTAGTCTCCCATTGACGTCAATGCATGACTAAGTGAAAAATCGATTTAAGTGGAAGTTAGGATTCGCCCCAAAGGGACTTTCCGATGACATATGACTGGATCGACTTGTGTCTCTGCCTCAGGTGCTGAAGCAGCTCCCAGCCAAAGAGGAGAAGGTGGAATTCTGTGCCATGAGTGACCAGCAGCAGCAGCTCTACAACACCTTAATGCAGAAGCTCAAGGGATCCATCAATGGAGAGAGTATGTTAGGGAGAGGAGGAATGAGAGAAAGGCATCTGGTTCATTTGAAAAGTGATGGAAGGCCTAAGAGAATATTAAAAAGCAACACAAGTAGAATTTTAAGATGCACAGATTATCTGATTTTAAAACCATATGTTGCAAATGTGTCCTCCACAGAGAGAGAACTGACCAATGTGATGATGCAGTTGAGGAAGATGGCAAATCATCCACTGCTGCACCGGGAGCATTATACCACTACCAAACTAGCTGCTATGAGTCAACTCATGCTCAAGGTCAGACCTGAAAACGTATTGGTGTTTTAAGAGAATGTTTTGAATGGGTTTGTAACTGCTATTGAAGGGGCTGTCGGAAGCTAAGGGCATTACAGTGTGTATTTTGGTCAGTCTGTGATTGCTTTGACTCAATTTGACCCTTAACCCCATCAGGAGCCGACCCACCGTGAAGCAGACCCAGCACTGATCAAGGAGGACATGGAGGTCATGACAGACTTTGAGCTGCACCGACTTTGTCTGCAGTACCCGTCCGTACAAGACTATCAGCTGAACACAGACATGCTCCTGGACTCAGGAAAACTCAGCCTGCTCACACAGCTTCTGGCCTCTCTCAAAAACAAGGTATGAAAGCTACAGTGGAAGTGGATCAAATGGAGACAGCATCTTTATTATGCACTATTAAGCCTTGCCCGTTGTGATCCAGCTATAGCCTTCTCCATCTCCCTCCCTGGCAGTTTCTTCGCCCCCCATAAAACCAGTCACCCTTTTATTCCCCGTCCCTCTACCTGTCAGACACTTCATCTCTTCACTGCTCTCAATTACAATCACTCTTTTCTTGGCTTTCCCCCTTCCAACATGCAGTCAACCACCTCTATATTTCTCTTTCTCACTCTTTCTTTCTCTCTGATCCCTCCGGTCCTGTAGTTATTAATCACAGTGACTGTGTTTCTCTGTCAGGGGGATAGAGTGGTGCTCTTCAGCCAGTTCACCATGATGCTGGACATTCTAGAGGTGTTCCTGAAGCACTTGAAGCATCGCTACATTCGATTGGATGGATCAACGCCCATGTCTGACAGGTAGGACTTGTCTGATGAATCAGGACTTTGAACTCTGTCCCTACATCCGCAAGGCACATTGTTTTTTTCCTGTACTTACCATTCTGTTCAATGAGTGCCTATAGCACAGGCTGTACTTGTTTAGAAATGTATCAAATTATGTATGTTTCAATTAGCTGTTAATTTATCTCCTAATAGGATATGACAGGCCTTTGTCATTTAGGAATGGATTGATACATAGTAGGGACTGAAAATGGTCACAGCTAGGGTTTTCTCCAAGGACATTATGCAAATTAAACTGTTAATCACAATTTTAAAAAATTCTTGATAATTATGCTTATTAATAGAAATATCTTAATGTCCATGAATGCCTTTATGGACATTAATAGATATGTTAATTCTCCCATCCTCTTGTAGAATCGTACTGATTGACCAATACAACACAGAGTTGGACATCTTTGTGTTCTTGATGTCTACTAAGGCTGGAGGCCTGGGCATCAACCTGGCCTCAGCCAATGTGGTCATCTTGCACGACATTGACTGCAACCCCTACAATGATAAGCAGGCCGAGGATCGCTGTCACCGTGTCGGACAGACAAGGTCAGTGAGGAAGGGGAAACTATGTTTACAAGCAAGCAATTTGCTAACGTTACCCGCCATACCCAGGCTATGTGCTACCTTTGAGTTTGTGTTGCTCATACAGTAGATGTGAGTGTATATGCCCTGTAGTAAAATTCTGGCATCTTTATGTTGCAGGACTGTGAAGGTGATCAAGCTGATCAGTAAGGACTCCATAGAGGACGGCATGCTCCGCATCGGTCAGAAGAAACTCAAACTGGAGCAGGATATGACTGCCTCTGAGTCCCAGGACGGTGAGCTCATTATCCCCTCCTACCTCTCACATTAACCACAATATACTGTACCGCGCATGCTCATACCAACACATACCAGCATTCATTTTCATATAGCCTGCCAATGAACATATTCACTGACAGTCGATTATAGATTTTACCGTCTAAAACTAGATGCATTTCCTTTGTCAGGCGATGAGGACTCGATACCAGAGGACATGGCCTCCCTTCTGAAGGCATCACTGGGGCTGTGAGGATTTTTCCATTTGTCTGGAGGGGTCCTCAAGGTTGTTGATTGTCATGGCATTCAGAGAGCCAGTTTCGCGAGGCACCCACGGCAAGGTTATTTAGGAAAACATTTTATTTTAGGAAAACAGCTAACTTCCTACAATTCTACACATTTTGCCATGAGGCTGAGAGAAAATGTTGATGTTTTAAAGATAATTTCCTGCTTTGTAATTGAAAGGTTGTTGATTGTCAGGGCATTCAGAGCCATGGATGCGGCATGTCTCCTCTTATCTTCACTGTACTTTATGTACAAATAGTTTCTTAAGGCAATGAATTTATGTTGTTTATAAGGAATTTTGTGTCACTGTTGCAACAATTTTTAATAAAAGATTACAAGCAGTGATGTCCAATTTTCCATGATTATATGTGGGCTACATTCTGAAGCGCAGGCGCAGTCTGGATGGCTGCGCAACTGTATAGCAGTGATGATCGAATCGTGCTGCCAAGACGAGGTTGAAAATGAAAAGAACAGGCAGAACATTAGCCAGCTAGCCTAGCTGTTTTCCATGTCTAAAAGTAGCCAACTCGAAAACACTCAGTCAACTACGAAGTGATAACTTTATGCAAGTTACTCTCAATATTACTGGGATTTTTTTCTACGTCAGAACATGTTTTACTAACCGGTGAACCTTAGTGTATTCAGATAAACTAGCTAATTTAGCTAGTTAGCCAGCGTTGTGAATGTGGTTCTCGAAATTCATACTAGATTGAGCTAGTATGGGTAGGCTTGACGTTCTAGGAGATTGGCTTGATTAACTAGGTAGCTATCTTAAGTATTTTTACTTTGTAGTCTTGTTCCAAAATCTTTGTATTACTACTGTAACAAAGTTTACAATAACGAACATAAGTCAAAAGCTTCATAGCTATGCTTTTAACTGTCAATTTTGTTACTTACGTTTTATTTACAACGGAGTAACTAGCAAACTAGCTAACACGTTTCCCTAGTATAAACTGTAACGTCATCAAATGGATACATGTATAGATACATATATTAATCTATACATTCATCCGATAAAGTCTAGCTAAATCATTACGAAAGGAATACTAATTCTAAGGTTATACCGTACTGTACCTAAAGCATTGTTTTTTAAGACAAATTACAACAAACATCGGTGTAATCAAGCCTTATATTTTGGGCTATGATCGGGGAAGACGTGAAGTAGCCTAAATGCCTGAGTTTGTTACAGTGCCTTCAGAAAGTATTCATACCCCATGATTTATTCTACATTTTGTTGTTACAGCCTGAATTCAAAATGGATTACATATTTTTTTCTCACCCATCTACACACAATACCCCATGACAGTGAAAACATGTTTTTAGACATTTTTGCAAATAAGTATTCACACCCCTTTTGCTATGACACTCCAAATTGAGCTCAGGTGCATCCAATTTCCATTGATCACCATTGAGACGTCATCACAACTTGATTGGAGTCCACCTGTGGCCAATTCAATTGTCTGGACATGATTTAGAAAGAAACACCAGTCTATATAAGGTCCTTCAGTTGACAGTGCATGTCGGAGGAGAAACTACACTGAACAAAAATATAAATGCAACATGTAAAGTGTTCCCAGAAATGTTCCATATGCACAAAACTCTTATTTTCCTCTAATTTTGTGCACAAATTTGTTTACATCCCTGTTAGTGAAAATTACTCATTTGCCAAGATAATCCATCCACCTGACAAGTGTGGCATATCGAGAAGCTGATTAAACAGCATGATCATTACACAGGTGCACCTTGTGCTGGGGACAATAAAAGGGCACTCTAAAATGTGCAGTTTTGTGTCACAACACAATGCCACATGTCGCAAGTTTTGAGGGAGTGTGTAAATGGCATGCTGACTGCAGGAATGTCCACCAGAGCTGTTGCCAGAGAATTGAATGTTAATTTCTCTACCATAAATGTCATTTTAGAGAATTTGGCAGTACGTCCAACCGGCCTCACAACTGCAGACCATGTGTATGGCGTCATGTGGGCGAGCGATTTGCTGATGTCAACATTGTGAACCGAGTGCCCCATGGTGGCAGTGGGATTATGGTATGGGCAGGCATAAACTACAGACAATGAACACAATTGCATTTTATCAATGGCAATTTGAATGCACAGCGATACCGTAATGAGATCCTGAGGCCCATTGTTGTGCCATTCATCTGCCGCCATTACCATGTTTCAGCATGATAATGCATGGCCCCATGTCGCAAGGATCTGTACACAATTCCTGGAAGCAAATGTCCCTGTTCTTCCATGGCCTGCATACTCACCAGGCATGTCACCCATTGAGTATGTTTGGGATGCTCTGGATTGACGTGTACGACAGCGTGTTCCAGTTCCCGCCAATATCCAGCAACTTCGCACAGCCATTGAAGAGTGGGACAACATTCCACAGGCCAAAATAACAGCCTGATCAACTCTATGCGAAGGAGATGTGGCACTGTATGAGGCAAACGGTGGTCACACCAGATACTGACTGGTTTTCTGATCCACGCCCCTACATTTGTGCAAAAAAAGAGAGAAATTCAATTTTTGTGCATATGGAACTTTTCTGTGATCTTTAATTTCAGTTCAAGAAACATGGGACCAACACTATACATATTGCGTTTATATTTTTGTTCAGTGTAGAATTGTGATGAGGCTTATATTTGGGGAAGGATATAAAACAATTTGTGTGAAAGTTTCCAAGAGCACATCATTGAAATATTCATCTACCCAGACTCTGCCTAGAGCTGGCCGTCCAACCAAACTGAGCAACTGGGCAAGAAGGTCCTTGGTCAGGAAGGTGACCAAGAACCCAATGACCAATGACAGAACTGCAGAGTTCCTTGGCTGAGATGGAAGAACCTGTCAGAAGGACAACAGTCTTCACCAATATGGGCTTCATGGGAGATTGGCCAGACGGAAGCCACTCCTGAGAAAATGGCACATGACAGCACGCCTAGAGTTTGCAAAAAGGCATGCGAAAGACTGAGAAGGCAAAAGATTCTGTGGTCTGATGAGACAGAAATTGAACTCTTTGGCCTGAATGCAAAGCGCTATGTCTGGCCAAAACCAGGCACAGTTCATCACCCGTCGAACACCATCCCTACCGTGAAGCATGGTGGTGTCAGCATCATGCTATGGGGATGCTTTTCAGCGGCAGGGACTGGGAGACTGGTAAGGGAACAATGAATGGAGCCAAATACTGGCAAATCCTTGATTAGAACATGCTTCGGAGTGCAAATAACCTTAGACTAGGGCAAAGATTTACGTTCCAACAGGACAATGGCCCCAAGCATACAGCCAAAGCAATGCTGGAATGGTTTCAGAACAAGAACGTGTAAGTCCTTGAATGGCCCAGCCAAAGCCCATACTTGAATCCCATTGAAAATCTGTGTAAAGACTTGAAGATTGCAGTTTGCCACTCCCTATCTAACTTAACAGAGCTTGAGAAAATCTGCAGGGAAGAATGGGAGAAAATCCCCCAAACCAGATGTGCAAAGCTGATACAGACATACCCAAGACGACTCAAAGCTGTAATCGCTGTTGAAGGTGCTTCTACAAAGTATTGACTCAGGGGTGTGAATACTTATGTAAATTAGATTTCTGTATTTCATTTTCAATATGTTTGCAAAAATGTCTAAAAACATGTTTTCACTTTGTCATTATGGGTTGTTGTGTGTAGGTGGGTAAATTTTTTTTATCCATTTTGAATTCAGGCTGTAACACAACAAAATGTGGAATAAGTAAAGCGGTATGAATACTTTCTGAAGGCACTGTATTCTTCAAGATGCATATGTCAAAATGGCCATTGAATGAACAGCAGGAAATCTTCCAGCCTTTTTTCATTTTATCAAGCAGCAGGGTCTTTACCATCTTATATTTCAGCAATATGAGTCATTGCGAGTTTGAGGATATAATCCTGCACTTGAACGACAGGATTTCATCCATCAGACAGGTCTTGGAGCTGTGGACAATTGGTATGATGATCTGGTACGTACGGGGCATGTCTCTTGTCGAAGGGATTACTTTTATCTCATGTAGTTAGTGTTTCAGCTAACAGAGAAGTGATCTCACCTCATCAAACAGGAACTCAATGGTTTTCTGACAGCATCAGGTAATACATAACTTTCTTGAAACTTAACTTAAAATGTATGCCCCATTTTCAGCAAAAGATCATGACAAACGGATCATTCTAGGGAAGATGGGACAAGATGTCCTTTCAATAGATGGACTCTTTGACCAGTTTGAGAAATGTGTTGGCCGCCAAAAATACCTACTGAAGAATTTAAAGGTTTTGCATGCATGCTTCACATTGCATTTTTAGACGGATCCTTTTTAGCTTGTCTGGATTGCAATATCTTAAAGTACGCTATTTGTCCTTTATGTCAGTGTGAAATCCGAGTTGTAATTATAAACCTAGACTGATAATGATTGACTGTTCTTTTTGTCACAGGAACTAGAGGAGTGCTTCCTGAAGGATGTGAAGGATGGAAAGCACCTTAGGGACAACATGCCCACACACATGTCAAGGAAGGCACAGCCAGCAGTCTAGTAAGGATACTGTGTGTGTTGGAGGATGTTATAAGAGGAGAAACTACAGAGTACCAACCAAATGAATTGTAAATGTGTTTGTCCTCTATTTTGCCTCCTTTGATATCCCAGTGGAAGAGGGCCTGTGAGTCAGAGTGGACCTGTAGATGTGCAACCAGCCCAGCAGGAGCACCCCAGGAAAACCTCCAAGAACCAGATCAGAGAGATGGAATTCATCACCTGCCCAGAGTTTAAGACCATCCCTCAATGAGTCCCCCTCAAGACTATCTGTATACTGTAGTGCAGCTTTATTTATTTAAGATGTTACTGCAGATCTGGCAGTTTTACCAGTAAAAAAATAAATAAAAACATGTTTATAATATATCTCTTTCCTCTGTATCTCTCTTTCGCTCTCTAGGTACATGAAAGGCTGTGTGACATATGACCAACTGAACGCTGCTGTGGAAAGCATTAACACAGCCGCAACAGGGAAGTACAAAATCATGCACCAGCCAGTAAAATCCTGAATAATGCCACACGCAAGCTTCATCAGCGATTATTAAGGAGGAAGAGAACAAGGACACTAAAGGTACCTCACTCAAACTACTGTTCTAAAGAAGTCTCTGTGCTTTGTTTCCCTATGGCACACAACACGGTTGATCATTGCATTGCTGCTGTTGTAGGAGTTGCGTAATTTCTTCCAAGAAAGGGACATTATCTTCTGACCCAGATACTATTGTTCTGACAACATTTGATCAAGGATGGCCGCCTGCATACTGATGGGAACTAACTAACTTCCTGTCTCAATACTCCTGTGTTCCCCTACAGGTCTGTTTTTCATTGTAGAGGCGGACATTAAAGAGTTCACTCGGGTGACAAGCGCTTCCAGGGCATCCTCAACATGCCAGCGTCTGCGAGAGCAGCGAGGAGGAGGTATCACACGCTACGTCCTGCTGTGAAAGGAGCAGAGATGGAGAAAGGGAGCTTGTCATTTGTATTTGTATTTATTAGGGATCCCCAAAATGTTTAATACCACCATACAACAATATCACAATGTGTGCGTATGCTTGTGTCTATACCTTTGTGTGTGTCTCTTCACAGTCCCCGCTGTTCCATAAAGTGTATTTTTACCTGTTTTTTAAAATCTGATTCTACTGCTTGCATCAGTTACCTGATGTGGAATAGAGTTCCATGTAGTCATGACTCTATGTAATACTGTGCGCCTCCCATAGTCTGTTCTGGACTTGGGGACTGTGAAGAGACCTCTGGTGGCATGTCTTGTGGGGTATGCATGGGTGTCCAAGCTGTGTGCCAGTATTCCAAACAGACAGCTCGGTACATTCAGGTTGTCAACACCTCTTACAAAAACAAGCAGTGATGAAGTCAATCTCTCTTCCACTCTAAGCCAGGAGAGACTGACATGCATGTCATTAATGTTAGCTCTCCGTGTACTTTTAAGGGCCAGCCGTGCTGCCCTGTTCTGAGCCAACTGCAAGTCCCTCTTTGTGGCACCTGACCACACTACTGGACAGTAGTCCAGGTGCGACAAAACTAGGGCCTGTAGGACCTGCCTTGTTGATAGTGTTGTTAAGAAGGCAGGGCAGCGCTTAATTATGGACATACTTCTCCCCATCTTAGCTACTGTTGTATCAATATGCTTTGACCATGACAGTCTACAATCCAGGGTTACACCAAGCAGTTTAGTCACCTCAACTTACTCAATTTTCACATTATTCATTACGAGATGTAGTTGAGGTTTATGGTTTAGTGAATGATTTGACCCAAATACAATGCTTTTAGTTTTGGAAATATTTAGGACTAACTTATTCCTTGCCACCCATTCCGAAACTAACTGCAACTCTTTGTTAAGTGTTGTCAGTTGCTGTAGTAGCTGACGTGTATAGTGTTGAGTCATTTGCATACATAGACACACTAGCTTTACTCAAAGCCAGTGGCATGTCGTTAGTAAAGATGGAAAAAAGTAAGGGGCCTAGACAGCTTCCCTGGGGAATTCCTGATTCTACCTGTATTACGTTTGAGAGGCTTCCATTAAAGAACGCCCTCTGCATTCTGTTAGACAAGTAACTCTTTATCCACATTATAGCAAGGGGTGTAAAGCCATAACACATACGTTTTTCCAGCAGCAGACTATGATCAATAATGTCATTATTGGCACCCTTGATAAAGATGAGCAAAAAATACTGTATAAAATAAATACAAATACTGAGCTATAATTGCTCAAAGAAATACATTTTGTTTAAACGTAAGTGCAGTTAACGTGATTTTCCTGCTTTTTTTATATTTCCACACTATGAAGTCGAAATAACACCTGGTTGCCTCAGCCAGGTGGCTGCCACTTGGCCGCATAATATTCTGTATGGAGGAATGGTCTAAGACCCGAACCCCCCCCCCCAAAGAAAAAGGCTGTGTCGTTATCATCGCAAGGGAAGGGTGCTAGAATATTGAAAGCGGGTGCCAATAATTTTGACACTTCTAAAGAAAAACTTGTAGAACAAAATCTCTTTCTCTGAGCAATTGTATAAAATATAATTTCCCCATTTTTTTTTTTGGGGGGGGGGGTTAGCACACATTATAGCTCAGTATTTGTATTGATTTTAGTCTTTTTTTGCTCATCTTTATCAAGGGTGGCAATAATTATGGACCTGACTGTAATTGGCTACAACAGGACAGTATTGACTGAGAGAGGGGGTGAAAATAAAAAACCTAATTTTATTGAGAATAGTGGTTGAGGCTGTTAACGTTTATGTGCCTGGTTTAGATTATTTATTTATTTTTGTGTGGGGGGCGAGGGGCTTACAGTGGGGAGAACAAGTATTTGATACACTGCCGATTTTGCAGGTTTTCCTACTTACAAAGCATGTAGAGGTCTGTAATTTTTATCATAGGTACACTTCAACTGTGAGAGACGGAATCTAAAACAAAAATCCAGAAAATCACATTGTATGATTTTTAAGTAATTAATTTGCATTTTATTGCATGACATAAGTATTTGATCACGTACCAACCAGTAAGAATTCCGGCTCTCACAGACCTGTTAGTTTTTCTTTAAGAAGCCCTCCTGTTCTCCACTCATTACCTGTATTAACTGCACCTGTTTGAATTTGTTACCTGTATAAAAGACACCTGTCCACACACTCAATCAAACAGACTCCAACCTCTCCACAATGGCCAAGACCAGAGAGCTGTGTAAGGACATCAGGGATAAAATTGTAGACCTGCACAAGGCTGGGATGGGCTACAGGACAATAGGCAAGCAGCTTGGTGAGAAGGCAACAACTGTTGGCGCAATTATTAGAAAATGGAAGAAGTTCAAGATGACGGTCAATCACCCTCGGTCTGGGGCTCCATCAATGATCATGAGGAAGGTGAGGGATCAGCCCAGAACTACACGGCAGGACCTGGTCAATGACCTGAAGAGCGCTGGGACCACAGTCTCAAAGAAAACCATTAGTAACACACTATGCCGTCATGGATTAAAATCCTGCAGCGCACGCAAGGTCCCCCTGCTCAAGCCAGCGCATGTCCAGGCCCGTTTGAAGTTTGCCAATGACCATCTGGATGATCCAGAGGAGGAATGGGAGAAGGTCATGTGGTCTGATGAGACAAAAATAGAGCTTTTTGGTCTAAACTCCACTCGCCGTGTTTGGACGAAGAAGAAGGATGAGTACAACCCCAAGAACACCATCCCAACCGTGAAGCATGGAGGTGGAAACATCATTCTTTGGGGATGCTTTTCTGCAAAGGGGACAGGACGACTGCACCGTATTGAGGGGAGGATGGATGGGGCCATGTATCGCGAGATCTTGGCCAACAACCTCCTTCCCTCAGTAAGAGCATTGAAGATGGGTCGGGGCTGGGTCTTCCAGCATGACAACGACCCGAAACACACAGCCAGGGCAACTAAGGAGTGGCTCCGTAAGAAGCATCTCAAGGTCCTGGAGTGGCCTAGCCAGTCTCCAGACCTGAACCCAATCGAAATTCTTGGAGGGAGCTGAAAGTCCGTATTGCCCAGCGACAGCCCCGAAACCTGAAGGATCTGGAGAAGGTCTGTATGGAGGAGTGGGCCAAAATCCCTGCTGCAGTGTGTGCAAACCTGGTCAAGATCTACAGGAAACGTATGATCTCTGTAATTGCAAACAAAGGTTTCTGTACCAAATATTAAGTTCTGCTTTTCTGATGTATCAAATACTTATGTCATGCAATAAAATGCAAATTAATTACTTAAAAATCATACAATGTGATTTTCTGGATTTTTGTACATATGGTAAAAATTACAGACCTCTACATGCTTTGTAAGTAGGAAAACCTGCAAAATCGGCAGTGTATCAAATACTTCTTCTCCCCACTGTATGTGAGTCAGTTGCCCTCGCAACAAATTATTTAATTCAAAGGTTGTTGTATTAGCTCCTTTTAATTGTATTATCCATGTGGTGATAAAGATGACTTTGTCAATAACAAACATGTTTTATATTGGTATAAATGAAATAAATATTTTGGATCAATTGTTATATTAATGTCAATTGTGTGCAATGTGTAAGAATCTCTTTCCAGATACCACTTGACATTGCAGGATGCACATAAGAAGTTGGATCTTATTCTTCTCTACAAGGATGTGCATTTGTTTTTATGAGGGGACAGGAGGGTGTTTGCATTGATGTTAACTTTTGGTTAATAATTTCAGCTGTGTATACATTAACTTGGGCTGGCACAATTATTGTATAATCGTGTAACCAACAATTATAATCTTAATACATTCATTTTAGGTGAAGGGGGATTTAACTTTATATTCAAGTAGATATACTTTACCCAATAGCAGTTTTTCATTTTTACATAAATAGGGTGAAGTTGGTAATCATTTTTAGAGCAGAGCAGAACCGCACAGTTGGAAGGAGAAGCTTAATTTCCAAACATGGTCAAAACCATTTGTTTTTTAGACTGAGGTAACACCAACGCTGTGTTGTATTCATTAGGTATATATTTTTCAAAGATGAATTACAAGCAAAAAATAAATAAGACAATTATGACTAACCTTGGCCATTTGCGTGACAATTAATCGTTACCCAAAATTCCATAATCTTCACATCCCAAAGGTTAACATTTCATCACTTTCAGTTAGGCATCTGTTTTAGTTGAGTTTCATTTACCCTCATTCAAGGCATTGAACCAGGGACTAGCAATGGCACATGCCTTGACACTTCTGGTAAGTGGCAATATTTGTGATTTTCTTGTATAATTTTTTTTGGATTGGCCATTTGTGACTAATGATAACTACGCAATGCCCAACTATATCACTGCGTGTTTGTCAATTATAATTGCTAGTGCTATTTTCGTTTTTATGGTGTATCATTGCAGGCTTACTCATGTTTCCTCTTCTCTGTGCAGTTAGAAAGTCCTGTTCTTATTGCGGCCATTTTCATTAGTGGCATCGGTGGGACATTCCAGTTCGGCTTTCATATATCTGTCCTGACTTCACCTTCTTCTGTGAGTACTGTAGATCCGCTTCAAAAATATTAAAATGACAAAAGTAGACCACCACGTCAGTATTAACAGATAAATGTTGCTTTGCAAAACAAGCACAGTTGTTACATGAATGTTATAGAAACTTGAGTGTAATAGCTCTGAATCACTATTTTCTCTAAACAAAGCAACAACAACTTCAGTTGGAGACATGCGCCAATGTAAACTCTGGGGGAAAATGAGAAATTGTTTGAGATCCATATATGTTTGACTGACCCAACTCCAAACGTCATGGCCACCCTCTTGGTGTTACTGTAGTTCATAAAGGAGCTGGTGAACACCACATGCCTGCAGCGGTATAGTATATCCCTGGAGCAGTGGGAAGTGACTCTCATCTGGTCCTTCATCGTCTCCATCTTCTGCATCGGGGGCCTTCTCGGGTCCCTGTGTGCCGGCCGCCTTTCATCAGCATATGGGAGGTAAGGGGTTGTAGTAGAAAGTGTTAGGCTTCATACTGGGCCTAGACTTGGGGTATGCATCCTGGCCATGCAAGGATTTTCGCCTCTTATTTGAAGGTGTGTTGGTGTGGTTACTATTTGTTGTAGTAGAACATGAATGATGTAGATTTTTTTCCCACCACACTTTCCAGAAAGAGATGCCTGTTGTTGAACAACCTGTTTGCCATTGGCGGTGCTGGGATGATGCTGTTGAGCAAAACAGCCATGTCCTTTGAGATGATCATGGTTGGACGTTTCCTCTACGGCATTAATGCAGGTAAGCAGATTTTTCTTCTTACGAATTGATTCCATCGTTTTGTAGGCCACAAAACAAGGTAATCTTTATACCTGTCTTAATATCTCACTAGAGGAATAATGCTGCCAAGCTGTGTCTGTGACATGGTTTGTCCTTTCTTGTGTATGCTGCAGGTGTTGGCCTCAGTGTCCACACCATGTACCTGGTGGAATGTGCCCCCAAGAGGCTGCGAGGGATAGTGGGTGTGTCTGTTGCCACCTTTCTGTCCATGGGGAAGTTCTTGGGTCAGCTTCTGGGGATCAGGTGAGCTATCTGGTTCTAGTGTGTCAGTCAGGGACGCTTATATCAGTTTAACCTGTGGTGAACAAACACTATGTGATTTTATTTGATATTGTACTCTGTCCTTGCAGTGAGTTACTGGGGACAGAGGACAGGTGGCCCTGGTTGCTGGGCTTCAGTGGTGCGACCGCCCTGCTCCAGCTCGTCACCCTGCCCCTCCTCCCAGAGTCACCCAAATACCTGCTACTGGACCGGGGCGACTGCCAGGGCTGTGAGAAGGGTAAGCACCTGGGTGCAGCTCTGAGGAATATGGACAGGTAATGGGTTGCCTAAGGAAAGCTACCTCACGAAATATTTACTTGATGCAATTAGTGTTATCATAATCATCCTCACAATCATCATCATGCCTGACTCAGCAGTCTATCTTATTAGGCTTTTATGTCCTTTTCCACTTGTGTATCTTATTGGGCCTTTCCCCCCTGTAGCCATCCACAGGCTGTGGGGCAGCAGAGACCACAGTGCGGAGGTGGAGGAGATGCTGCTGGAGCACGCCTCCTTGAAGGGAGTCCGCAGCCACACTGTGTTGGACCTGATCCTGGACAAGGCCATACGCTGGCAGCTCCTCACCATCCTCGTCGCCTTCACCACCCTGCAGTTCAGTGGCATCAACGCTGTGAGTTGATGCATGAAGTTGGTCCACGAGGACAGTGTGTTTGGATGTGTTTGAGCAAGAGTTGGAGTTAGGATATACAAATGTACCATAGCATGTCACTGTCTGATCAAAACCTACCTTAAGTCCATTCAGTTATACTGAACAAAAATATAAACGCAAGATGTAAAGAGTTGATCCCATGTTTCATGAGCTGAAATAAAAGATCCCAGAAATTTATCTCAAATTTTGTGCACAAATTTGGTGACATCCCTGTTAGTGAGCATTTATCTTTGCCAAGATAATCCATCCACCTGACAGGTGTGGTATATTAAGAAGCTGATTAAACAGCATGATCATTACACAGGTGCACCTTGTGCTGGGGACAATAAAAGGCCACTGTAAAATGTGCAATTTTGTCACACAACACAATGCCACAGATGTCTCAAGTTTTGAGGGAGCGTGCAATTGACATGCTGACTGCAGGAATATCCAAGAGCTGTTGTCAGAGAATTGAATGTTCATTTCTCTACAATAAGCCGCCTCCAACGTCATTTTTGAGAATTTAGCAGTATGTCCAACCGGCCTCACAACCGCAGACCACGTGAAACCAAGCCAACCCAGGATCTCCACATCCAGCTTCTTCAACTGCGGGATTGTCTTTGACCAGCCACCCGGAAAGCTGATGAAACTGTGGGTTTGCACAACCGAAGAATTTCTGAACAAACTGTCATAAACCGTCTCAGGGAAGCTCATCTGTGTGCTCGTTGTCCTCACCAGGGTCCCATGGTGGCGGTGGGGTTATGGTATGGGCAGGCATAAGCTACGGACAGGGTTGGGTAGATTACTTTCTAAATGTAATCCGTTACAGTTACTAGTTACCTGTCCAAAATTGTAATCAGTAACGTAACTTTTGGATTACCCAAACTCAGATTACTTTCCCTTTAAGAGGCATTAGAAGAGGACAAAAATGTATATTACCAATTGAATGACATCTATTGCAGGATAATTCAATTGTTGTTGCATTTTACTTTATGGGTTGGTTATGTAGGCTTCTTCTAACCCATTGCTTTCTACTACAGATAATAATATGATTAGGCTATATTTGATTTTGTTTTAATAGGATCCCCATTAGCCGACGCTAGTGGCGACAGCTAGTCTTACTGTGGTCCGACACATAACAAAAAAGACATTACAGACAAAATACTTTACAATTTACATACATTTAAAAACATTACATGTAGTGTGTGTGTGTGCATCTATCAGTTACACATATATGTCAGTACATACACACAACAAGTAGGTCACATCGGGGAGAGGCGTTGTGCCGTGAGTTGTTGCTTTATTTGTTTTTTGAAACCAGGTTTGCTGTTTACTTACGCTATATGACATGGAATGGAAATGGTTCTACATTGAACCCAAAAGGGTTCTACCTGGAACAAAAAGGGTTCTTCAAAGGGTTATCCTATGGGGATAGCTGAAGAACCCTTTTAGGTTCTAGATAGCACCTAACAAAATGTGGAAAAAGTCAAGGGGTCTGAATACTTTCAGAAGGCACTGTATGAACTGCAACTCAGTAAAATCATTGACATTGATGCATGTGGTGTTTATATTTTTGGTTCAGTGTAGATATGTCTGATTAAGTGATAAACATTGTCATTGTGCTCCTCTGCAGGTGTACCTTTACTCTTTTGACGTGTTCCGTGCGGCAGGGATCCCCACACACCAGTTACGCTATGTTGCTTTGGGAACCGGTCTGTGTGAGGTTTCTACCTCCATTGCCTGTGTGAGTCGTGTTTCACCATATCCCTCACCACTAACCCTTATTAACCCTATATTTACATTTACATTTTAGTCATTTAGCAGACGCTCTTATCCAGAGCGACTTACAGTTAGTGAGTGCATACATTATTTGTTTTACCCCCCGTGGGAATCGAACCCACAACCCTGGAGTTGCAAACGCCATGCTCTACCAACTGAGCTACATCCCTGCCAGCCATTCCCTCCCCTACCCTGGACGACGCTGGGCCGATTGTGCGCCGCCCCATGGGTCTAACCTTTATGAACTGTGAAGGTTCACATAGGCACAAATATCATACCCTCCACAAAAATGCTAACCTCCCCTGTTATTTTAATGGTGAGAGGTTAGCATGTCTTGGGGGTACGATATTTGTGCGTCTGTAACTTTCTCACTCATCATTATTCACGATTCAATCAGGATTATCCGTAATCATGGTAGCATCCACATTAATGTAGAAGTGTTTATTAACATATTATATTCTTATTTACAATAAAAGTGATTCCAGAATGACACAATACATTATTTACCATTAATTTCTATTGGGCACAAAATTATCTGAAACACAACCAAAACAAACAGCAAATGCATCCAACAAATTTGTCACAAGCTTGATGTAGTCATTGCGTGCTATGAATATGGGACCAAATACTTAACGTTTTACTACTTTAATACACATACAAGTGAATTTGTCCCAATACTTTTGCTCCCATAAAATGGGGGGACTATGTACAACAAGTGCTGTAATTTCTAAACGGTTCACCCATATGGATGAAAATACTTTCAAATGAAAGCTGACAGTGTGCACATTAACTTCATAGTCAATGTTTGATTTCAAATCCAAACTTTTGGAGTATAGAGCCAAAAGAAGAAAAAAACTTAACTGTCCCATTAATTAAGGAGGGCACTAATTCATATCATAGGCCTAATAGTACTGTAGAGCTCTTTTTACTTGCACACAATATAGCTGGGTCGCCCCATCCTGCCCCTAGGGGTCCACCGCCCTGCAGCGCCCCAACCCAACACACCCCACTCAGCTTTAGGATCTTAGTGAAACATTCATTATTGGTTTCAGGTGTGTTAGGCCAAGGCCAGAGTGACAACCAACAGTACGTCAGACCCCCAGGGCCAGAACTGAGCAGCTCAGCAGCTAGGGATTGCCTAAATAGGTATCTCCCCTGCCGTGTGCATGTTTTCAATACAGACTCCTTTTGTCGTACAGTATTCCATATAAGGCATCCAGACCTTATGAAAGTTGAACAGTATACCTTTAATCTTGTAATAAATCAAATCTAGTGATACATAACTTGACATTTCTGCCATCTATTGTGGCATTGTGGGAGGATAACCAACCTTCCCATTAATGGCAATGCATTTCTTAGCCACTATAAATGCTAGGTAACACAGATTTTTCCAATAAGTCTCCAGTATCAATATTTCCAAGCAAACAAAAACAGGGAGAAGGGAGGATCTATAGACATGCTGAGATAAAATAACATACTCTTTGCCAGAATTCAGCCAGCCTTCACAGTAGCATAACATATTGAAATATGTCCCCTTTTGTGTTTTACACCTCCAGCAGAGGATTACAGGCTCAAAATGTCCAGAAACAAAGAACTTACTTCTGAAACTCGTCAGTCTATTCTTGTTCTGAGAAATGTGTGTAGGCAGAGTTGCAAAGAAAAAGCCATATCTCAGACTGGCCAATAAAAATAAAAGATTAAGATGGGCAGTCTGAGATATGGCTTTTTCTTTGCAACTCTGCCTAGAAGGTCAGCATCCCGGAGTCGCCTCTTCACTGTTGACGTTGAGACTGGTGTTTTGTGGGTACTATTTAATGAAGCTGCCAGTTGAGGACCTGTGAGGCACCTGTTTCTCAAACTAGACACTCTAATATATTTGTCTTCTTGCTCAGTTGTGCACCGGGGCCTCCCACTCCTCTTTCTATTCTGGTTAGAGCCAGTTTGCGCTGTTCTGTGAAGGGAGTAGTACACAGCATTGTACGAGATCTTCAGTTTCTTGGCAATTTCTCGCATGGAATAGCCTTTATTTCTCAGAACAAGAATAGACTGACGAGTTTCAGAAGAAAGTTATTTGTTTCTGGCCATTTTGATTCTGTAATCGAACCCACAATTGCTGATGCTCCAGTTTTCGCTTCTTTAATCAGCACAACAGTTTTCAGCTGTGCTAACATAATTGCAAAAGGGTTTTCTAATGATCAATTAGCCTTTTAAAATGATAAACTTGGATTAGCAAACACAACGTGCCATTGGAACACAGGACTGATGGTTGCTGATAATGGGCCTCTGTACGCTTATGTAGATATTCCATAAAAAATCTGCTGTATCCAGCTACAATAGCCATTTACAACATTAACAATGTCTACACTGTATTTCTGATCAATTTGATGTTATTTTACCCAAAAAAAGTGACCCCAAACCTTTGAACGGTAGTGTACATGTCAGTACATACACACAACAAGTAGGTCACATGTGGGAGAGGCGTTGTGCCGTGAGGTTGTTACTTTATTTGTTTTTTGAAAACAGGTTTGCTGTTCACCTGCGCTATATAAGATGGAAGGGAATTCCATGCAATCATGGCTCTGTATAATACTGTATGTTTACTTGAATTTGCTCTGGACCTGGGGACTGTGAAAAGACCACTGGTGGCATGTCTGGTGGAGTAAGTGTGTGTGTCAGTGCTGTGTGCAAGTTGACTGTGCAAACAATTTGGAATTTCCAACACATTAATGTTTCTTATAAAAACAAGAAGGGCTGCAGTCAGTCTTTCCTCAACTCTTAGCCAAGAGAGACTGGCATGCATAGTATTAATATTAGCCCTCTGATTACAATGAAGAGCAAGACGTGCCGCTCCATTCTGGGCCAGCTGCAGCTTAACTAGGTATTTCTATGCAGCACTTGACCATATGACTGGACAATAATCAAGATAAGATAAAACTAGAGCCTGAAGGACTTGGTGTCAAAAAAGCAGAGCGTCTCTTTATTACAGACAGACCTCTCCCCATCTTTACAACGATTGAATCTATATGTTTTGACCATGACAGTTTACAATCTAAGGTAACACAAAATAATTTAGTCTCCTCAACTTGTTCAACAGCCACACCATTCATTACCAGATTCAGCTGAGGTCTAGAACTTGATTTGTACCAAATACAATGCTCTTAGTTTTAGAGATGTTCAGGACCAGTTTATTACTGGCCAACCATTACAAAACAGACTGCAACTCTTTGTTAAGGGTTTCAGTGACTTAATTAGCTGTGGTTGCTGATGCGTACAGTTGAAGTCGGAAGTTTACATACACCTTAGCCAAATACATTTAAACTAAGTTTTTCACCACTTTATTTTAAGAATGTGATATGTCAGAATAATAGTAGAGAGAATTATTTCTTTCAGCTTTAATTTCTTTCATCACATTCCCAGTGGGTCAGAAGTTTACATACACTCAAATAGTATTTGGTAGCATTGCCTTTAAATTGTTTAACTTGGGTCAAACGTTTCGGGTAGCCTTCCACAAGCTTCCCACAATAAGTTGGGTGAATTTTGGCCCATTCCTCCTGACAGAGCTGGTGTAACTGAGTCAGGTTTGTAGGCGTCCTTTCTAGCACACGCTTTTTCAGTTCTGCCCACACATTTTCTATAGGATTGAGGTCAGGGTTTGTGATGGCCACTCCAATACCTTGACTTTGTTGTCCTTAAGCCATTTTGCCACAACTTTGGAAGTATGCTTGGGGTCATTGTCCATTTGGAAGACCCATTTGCGACCAAGCTTTAACTTCCTGACTGATGTCTTGAGATGTTGCTTCAATATATCCACATAATTTTCCTTCCTCATGATGCCATCTATTTTGTGAAGTGCACCAGTCCCTCCTGCAGCAAAGCACCCCCACAGCATGATGCTGCCACCCCCGTGCTTCACGGTTGGGATGGTGTTCTTCGGCTTGCAAGCGTCCCCCTTTTTCCTCCAAACATAACGATGGTCATTATGGCCAAACAGTTCTATTTTTGTTTCATCAGACCAGAGGACATTTCTCCAAAAAGTATGATCTTTGTCCCCATGTGCAGTTGCAAACCGTAGTCCATTTTCTGGAATTTTCCAAGCTGTTTAAAGGAACAGTCAACTTAGTGTATGTAAACTTCTGACCCACTGGAATTGAGATACAGTGAATTATAAGTGAAATAATCTGTCTGTAAACAATTGTTGGAAAAATTACTTGTGTCATGCACAAAGTAGATGTCCTAACCGACTTGCCAAAACGACAGTTTGTTAAGAAGAAATTTGTGGTGTGGTTGAAAAACGAGTTTTAATGGCTCCAACCTAAGTGTATGTAAACTTCCGACTTCAACTGTATATGGTTGAATCATCAGCATACATGGACACTCATGCTTTGCTTAATGCCAGTGGCAGGTCATTGGTAAAAATAGAAAAGAGTAGAGGGCCTAGAGAGCTGCCCTGCAGTACACCACACTTTGCATGTTTGACATTAGAGGAGCTTCCATTAAAAAAAAACTGAGTTCTATTAGATAGATAGCTCTGAATCCATGATATGGCAGAGGTTGAAAAGTCATAACACATACGTTTTCTCAATAGGTTATGGTCAATAATATCAAAGGCTGCACTGAAATCTAACAGTACAGCTATCACAATCATCTTCTTATTAATTTATTTCAACGAATCATCAGTCATTTGTGTCAGTGCACTACATGTTGAGTGCCCTTCTCTATAAGCATGCTGAAAGTCTGTTATTAATTTGTTTACAGAGAAATAGCATTGTATTTGGTCAAACAAATTTTTTCCCAACAGTTTGCTAAGAGCGGATAGGTCTGCTGTTAGAACCAGTAAAGGCCGCTTTACCACTCTTGGGTAGCGGAATGACTTTGGCTTCCCTCCAGGCCTGAGGACAAATACTTTCCTCTAGGCTCAGATTAAAGATATGACAGATAGGAGTGGCTATAGTCGGAGGTAGCTACCATCCTCAGTAGCTTTCCATCTAAGTTGTCAATGCCAGGAGGTTTGTGATTATTGATTGATAACAATCATTTTTCCACCTCTCCCACACTAACTTTACAAAACTCAAACTTACAATGATTTACTTTAATTATTCGGTTTTTGTGCATGAGTACGATGGCACACTGTTTGTTGTTGGCATTTCCTGCCTAAGTTTGTCCACTTTGCCAATTAAGTAATCATTAAAATAATTGGCAACATCAAATTGTTTTGTGATGAATAAGCCATCTAATTCGATGAAAGATGGACTTGAATTTGTCTTTCTGCCCATAATTTCATTTATAGTACTCCAAAGTTTTTTTTCCATCATTCATCTTGGCTTCATAATACAGTTTAATTTTCTCTTTGTTGAGTTTAGTCACATAATTTCTCAATATGCAGTAAGTCAGCCAGTCAGATGTGCAGCCAGACTTATTAGCCGGTCCTTTTGCCCCATCTCTTTCAATTATACCGTTTTTTAATTCCTCATAAATCCATGGAGCCTTAACAGTTCTAACAGTTAGTTTCTTAACAATAACTGGAAGAAGCAATTTCATAAATTCATCAAGTGCAGCATCTGGATGCTCCTTACATCAGACCAACAAATATTTTGACATCATCCACATAAGAGTCACAGCAAAATGTTTTGTATGATATCTTATACACTATTTTAGGAACTTTGGTTTTCCTGGATATAGCCACTATATTGTGATCTCTGCATCCAATGGGTATGGATACAGCTTTAGAACAAAGTTCTACAGTATTAGTAAAAATGTGATCAATACATGTGGTTGATCTTGTTCCTGTAGTGTTTGTAAACACCCTGGTAGGTTGATTAATATCTGAACCAGATTACAGGCACTGGTTACAGTGAGAAGCTTCCTCTTGAGCGGACAGCTTGATGAAAACCAGTCAATATTCAGATCCCCAAGAAAGTGGATCTCTCTGTTTACATCACATACACTATCAAGCATTTCACACATATTATTTAGATACTGACTGTTAGCACTTGGTGGCCTATAGCAACACCCCAAAATAAAAAGCTTTAGATGTGCCAGGTGAACCTGCAACCACAACACTTTAATAACACTTGACATAAGATCTTCTCTACGCATTACAGGGATATGGCTCTGAATATACTGTATATACAGCAACACCTCCCCCATAAGCATTCCTGTCTCTTCTATAGATGTTATATCCTTGTATTGCTACTGCTGTATCATCAAATGAATTATCTAAGCGAGTCTCAGAAATGGCTAATATATTAATGTTATCTGATGTTAGCAAGTTATTGATTTCATTAACCTTATTTTTAAGGCTACATATATTATTATGGTCTATTTTCAGCCATTTCCTGGGTAGCTTATCAGAGATAGGTTTACCAAAGATAGCGTAGCAGTGCGGTCGTGTTCTCTTGTGTGTCCATGTAAATAGCCAGTTTTTTGTATTTTTTTTGTATTTTACGTATATACACTGCTCAAAAAAAATTAAGGGAACACTTAAACAACACAATGTAACTCCAAGTCAATCACACTTCTGTGAAATCAAACTGTCCACTTAGGAAGCAACACTGATTGACAATACATTTCACATGCTGTTGTGCAAATGGAATAGACAACAGGTGGAAATTATAGGCAATTAGCAAGACACCCCCAATAAAGGACTGGTTTTGCAGGTGGTGACCACAGACCACTTCTCAGTTCCTATGCTTCCTGGCTGATGTTTTGGTCACTTTTGAATGCTGGCGGTGCTTTCACTCTAGTGGTAGCATGAGACGGAGTCTACAACCCACACAAGTGGCTCAGGTAGTGCAGCTCATCCAGGATGGCACATCAATGCGAGCTGTGGCAAGAAGGTTTGCTGTGTCTGTCAGCGTAGTGTCCAGAGCATGGAGGCGCTACCAGGAGACAGGCCAGTACATCAGGAGACGTGGAGGAGGCCGTAGGAGGGCAACAACCCAGCAGCAGGACTGCTACCTCCGCCTTTGTGCAAGGAGGAGCAGGAGGAGCACTGCCAGAGCCCTGCAAAATGACCTCCAGCAGGCCACAAATGTGCATATGTCAGCTCAAACGGTCAGAAACAGACTCCATGAGGGTGGTATGAGGGCCCGACGTCCACAGGTGGGGGTTGTGCTTACAGCCCAACACCGTGCAGGATGTTTGGCATTTGCCAGAGAACACCAAGATTGGCAAATTCGCCACTGGCGCCCTGTGCTCTTCACAGATGAAAGCAGGTTCACACTGAGCACATGTGACAGACGTGACAGAGTCTGGAGACGCTGTGGAGAACGTTCTGCTGCCTGCAACATCCTCCAGCATGACCGGTTTGGCGGTGGGTCAGTCATGGTGTGGGGTGGCATTTCTTTGGGGGGCCGCACAGCCCTCCATGTGCTCGCCAGAGGTAGCCTGACTGCCATTAGGTACCGAGATGAGATCCTCAGACCCCTTGTGAGACCATATGCTGGTGCGGTTGGCCCTGGGTTCCTCCTAATGCAAGACAATGCTAGACCTCATGTGGCTGGAGTGTGTCAGCAGTTCCTGCAAGAGGAAGGCATTGATGCTATGGACCGCCCGTTCCCCAGACCTGAATCCAATTGAGCACATCTGGGACATCATGTCTCGCTCCATCCACCATCGCCACGTTGCACCACAGACTGTCCAGGAGTTGGTGGATGCTTTAGTCCAAGACTGGGAGGAGATCCCTCAGGAGACCATCCGCCACCTCATCAGGAGCATGCCCAGGCGTTGTAGGTAGGTCATACAGGCACGTGGAGGCCACACACACTACTGAGCCTCATTTTGACTTGTTTTAAGGACATTACATCAAAGTTGGATCAGCCTGTAGTGTGGTTTTCCACTTTAATTTTGAGGGTGACTCCAAATCAAGACCTCCATGGGTTGATAAATTTGATTTCCATTGATAATTTTTGTGTGATTTTGTTGTCAGCACATGTAAAGAAAAAAGTATTTAATAAGATTATTTCATTCATTTAGATCTAGGATGTGTTATTTTAGTATTCCCTTTATTTTTTTGAGCAGTGTATTTCCATATCACACTTTTCATCCTACTACTAAATATACTTTCATGCAAACCGCCTCACTCAATGTGGAACGGATTCTATTATTTACTCACCTTTATCTAGAATCTCCAGTTGAAACTAGCCAGCCAGCTAACTAGCTAGCTAACTAGCTACTTGCTATTAGCCACCGTTAGCGGTTTTCACCCAGAACATTGGATTTTCTGCCGGAATAACTGAATCACTGGACCTTAACACCGGATCTAGCTAGCCGCAACCGAATGGATGTCGAATGGATGTTGCTGTAGGCTAATTACCACTGCCCCCGTAGCACCAGTTAGCCTTGAGCCTTGAGCTAGCCCCGGCTATCTACCTCTCTGTCTACCGGACGGGAGTAGCCAGCTAACCAGCTAACTAGCTACTTGCTATTAGCCACCGTTAGCAGCTTTTTCTCCATTGTCCATGGCCTGCACTACCTACCAGCAAGCTCTAGTCTGGACTATTATCGGCCAGTCTGCTATTATCGACCCAGAATCACTGAATCACTGGACTTGATAATTGCAACTAGCTAGCTGCAACCATATGAACGTTGTTGTTGGCTAATCAGCCTTGAGCTAGCCTTGAGTCAAGCACATCTCCCGGCTATCTACCTCTCTGTCAACGGGACGGGACCTCCTAGAGTCGACACGGAGCCCTGCCGATCTATCAGAACTGGTCTGCCGATGTAATCGTCTGTAGTTTCAACAGGCTTCCCGTTACGACGACCACGAAGATCCATCTGCTAGCCCCGGCCCGCTAGCACACGCAAACTACAACCGTGCTTCCTGCTCGCTGTGCTGAAGCACCAATTTGAACTGCTCTCGGACTCACATATTGCTGTTCACTGGACCTTATGATCACTCAGCTGCACAGCTGATGCCTGCTGGACTGTTCCTTTACACGGTACCCTGTCCTGTTTATTCTGTTTAGCCTCAGCCCAAACTTTATCGCCATTACCAGTTGTTGTCTTAGCTCTCTCTAATAACACCTGTGATTGCGTTATGCCTCTCTCCCATGTCAATATGCCTAGCCTATTGCTGTTTGGGTTAGTTCTTATTATACAATTTCACTGTAGAACCCCAAGTCCCTCTCAAACTGCCTCAAATAGTTCCTTTGTTCCACCCCCCATACACGCCGAGACCGGCTCAATCGGTGCCTCCAGTGATGCTATCTCTTTCATTGTTACCCAACGCTTAGGTTTACCTCCACTGTACTCATATCCTTCCATATCCTTGTCTGTACATAATGCCCTGAATCTTTTCTACAATGCCCGGAAATCTGCCCCCTTTATTCTCTGTACCCAATGCACTAGAAGACCAGTTTTTAAAGCCTTTAGCCATATCCTTATTCTAGTCCTCCTCTGTTCCTCTGGTGATGTAAAGTCTAACCCAGGCCCTGCAGCCCCCAGTATCACTCCTACTCCCCAGGAGCTATCATTTGTTGACTTCTGTAACCGTAAAAGCCTTGGTTTTCTGCACGTTAACATCAGAAGTCTACTTCCTAAGTTTGAGTTATTCACTGCGTTAGCACACTCCGCCAACCCTGATGTTCTAGCAGTGTCTGAATCCTGGCTTAGGAAGGCCACCAAAAATTCTGAAATGTCCATCCCCAACTACAACATTTTCTGTCTAGATAGAACTGCCAAAGGGGGTGGAGTTGCAATCTACTGTAGAGATAGCCTGCAGAGCTCTATCATACTATCCAGGTCTGTGCCCAAACAGTTTGAGCTTCTACTTCTAAAAATCCACCTTTCCAGAAATAAGTCTCTCACTGTTGCCGCTTGCTACAAACCCCCCTCAGCCCCCAGCTGTGCCCTGGATACCATATGTGAATTGATTGCCCCCCATTTATCCTCAGAGTTCGTACTGCTTGGTGACCTAAATTGGGATATGCTTAACACCCCGGCCATCCTACAATCCAAACTAGATGCCCTCAATCTCACACAAATTATCAACGAACCTACCAGGTACAACCCTAAATCCGTAAACATGGGTACCCTCATAGATATCATCCTGACTAACTTACCATCTAAATACACCTCCGCTGTCTTCAACCAGGATCTCAGCGATCACTGCCTTATTGCCTGCGTCCGTAACGGGTCTGCAGACAAACAACCACCCCTCATCACTGTCAAACGCTCCCTAAAACACTTTAGCGAGCAGGCCTTCCTAATTGACCTGGCCCAGGTATCCTGGATGGATATAGATCTCATTCCGTCAGTAGAGGATGCCTGGTTGTTCTTTAAAAGTAATTTCCTCTCAATCTTAAATAAACATGCACCATTCAAAAAATACAGAACTAAGAACAGATATAGCCCCTGGTTCTCCTCAGATGTGACTGCCCTTGACCAGCACAAAAACATCCTGTGGCGTACTGCATTAGCATCAAATAGCCCCCGCGATATGCAACTTTTCAGGGAGGTCAGGAACCAAAATACACAAGCAGTTAGGAAAGCAAAGGCTAGCTTTTTCATACAGAAATTTGCATCCTGTAGCACTAACTCCAAAAAGTTTTGGGACACTGTAAAGTCCATGGAGAATAAGAGCACCTCCTCCCAGCTGCCCACTGCACTGAGACTAGGAAACACTATCACCACCGATAAATCTACAATAATCGAGAATTTCAACAAGCATTTTGCTACGGCTGGCCATGCTTTCCACCTGGATACCACTACCCCGGCCACCAGCTCTGCACCCTCCGCTGCAACTTTCCCATGCCCCCCCCGCTTCTCCTTCATACAAATTCAGACAGCTGATGTTCTGAAAGAGCTGCAAAATCTGGACCCCTACAAATCATCTGGGCTAGACAATCTGGACCCTTTCTTTCTAAAACGAGCCACCGAAATTGTCGCAACCCCTATTACTAGCCTGTTCAACCTCTCTTTCGTTACGTCTGAGATCCCCAGAGATTGGAAAGCTGCCGCGGTCATCCCCCTCGTCAAAGGGGGTGACACTCTAGATCCAAACTGTTACAGACCTATATCCATCCTGCCCTGCCTTTCGAAAGTTTTTGAAAGCCAAGTTAACAAACAGATCACCGACCATTTTGAATCCCACCGTACCTTCTCCGCTATGCAATCCGGTTTCCGAGCTGGTCATGGGTGCACCTCAGCCACGCTCAAGGTCCTAAACAATATTATAACCGCGATCGATAATAGACAGTACTGTGCAGCCGTCTTCATCGACCTGGCCAAGGCTTTCGACTCTGTCAACCACCGCATTCTTATTGGCAGACTAAATAGCCTTGGTTTCTCAAGTGACTGGCTCGCCTGGTTCACCAACTACTTCTCAGATAGAGTTCAATGTGTCAAATCGGAGAGCCTGTTTTCTGGACCTATGGCAGTCTCTATGGGGGTGCCACAGGGTTCAATTCTTGGGCCGACTCTTTTCTCTGTGTATATCAATGATGTCGCTCTTGCTGCTGGTGACTCTCAGATCCACCTCTACGCAGACGACACCATTTTGTATACATCTGGCCCTTCATTGGACACTGTGTTAACAAACCTCCAAACGAGCTTCAATGCCATACAACACTCCTTCAGTAGCCTCCAACTGCTCTTAAACACTAGTAAACCTAAATGCATGCTCTTCAATCGAACGCTGCTGGCACCCGCCCACCCGACTAGAATCATTACTCTCGACGGGTCTGACCTAGAGTATGTGGACAACTACAAATACCTAGGAGTCTGGTTAGACTGTAAACTCTCCTTCCAGACTCACATTAAGAATCTCCAATCCAAAGTTAAATCTAGAATCGGCTTCCTATTTCACAACAAAGCCTCCTTCACTCATGCTGCCAAACATGCCCTCGTAAAACTGACTATCCTACCGATCCTTGACTTCGGTGATGTCATTTACAAAATAGCCTCCAACACTCTACTCAGCAAATTGGATGTTGTCTATCACAGTGCCATCCGTTTTGTCACCAAAGCCCCATATACTACCCACCACTGTGACCTGTACGCTCTTGTTGCCTGGTCCTCACTACATATTCGTCGCCAAACCCACTGGCTCCAGGCCATCTATAAATCACTGCTAGGCAAATCCCCGCCTTATCTTAGCTCATTGGTCACCATAGCAACACCCACCCGTAGTATGAGCTCCAGCAGGTATATCTCACTGGTCATCCCCAAAGCCAACACCTCCTCTGGCCGCCATTCCTTCCAGTTCTCTGCTGCCAATGACTGGAACGAAATACAAAAATCTCTGAAGCTGGAGACTCTTATCTCCCTCACTAACTTTAAGCATCAGTTGTCAGAGCACCTTACCGATCACTGCACCTGTACACAGGCCATCTGAAATTAGCCCACCCAACTACCTCATCCCCATATTGTTATTTATTTTGCTCATTTGCACCCCAGTATCTCTATTTGCACATCATCTCTTGCACATCTATCATTCCAGTGTTAATGTAATTATTTTGCACTATAGCCTATTTATTGCCTTACCTCCATAACTTGCTACATTTGCACACACTGTATATATATTTTCTGTTGTATTTTTGACTTCATGTTTTGTTTTACCCCATATGTAACTCTGTGTTGTTGTTTTTATCGCACTGCTTTGCTTTATCTTGGCCAGGTCGCAGTTGTAAATGAGAACTTGTTCTCAACTGGCTTACCTGGTTAAATAAAGGTGAAAAATAGACATAATATGGAAAAGAGCAAACAAAGCAAGATAAATAAATATACATTCAGCAGTCCATTAATCAGCTGGTGTGTGTGTGTGTGTGTGCTGCGAGGTTGAAGCTACGAACCCATAGGCTTGGCTTTCTCATCCCTTCCAGGCTTTTGGGAGGGTGGACAATAAGCCTGTCATAGCGGATGTAAGCAATGTCCCCACGCACTCTGGCGGCTTTCATGGCTGGGATAAGTTATTTCCTCTTATGGTGCACAGCTTCAGGATAGTCCTCATTGAGTTCTTGGCTCTTTCCAGAACAGCTACCTTGTCCTTGAACCTCAGGAACTTGACCACTATCGGCCTGGGCCTGTCACCTGGGCCGGTGGTGGGGTTTCCAATCCTGTGGGCGCACTCCACCTCAATCTTCCTGTGGTCCATTTTCAGTTTCTCAGAGATCATTTCCCTTACTTTGTCCTCAGATGCCATCCAGGTCTCATGGAGATTTTGCAATTCCGTCCACAACCATGTTGTTCCGCCTTGATTGTTTCTCGAGATAATCTGATTTCTCCATCATTGTTATCATGGATTCCCAAACAGAACTGATGTCCTCTCTTAATGATTTACAGATTGCTGTCATCTTGCCGTTCTCCTGTTTAAACTCATCAAGCTGACCCTGGGAGCTGTTCTTTAGGTCCTGGATCTCTCTGGTCAGGTCGTCCATTATTTTATTAGTTGACTCCACCAGTATTTGGACACAACACTTGAAACTATTTTCTTGTTGTAGTAACAACTGCTTGTTGAACTCTTTTTGTTTGTTTAAAAGATCCTTCACCTGTGATAGAGTGACAACACTGTCCTCAACGGTACTCCTGCCGGCTTTGGTCTTTGTCATGGTAGCAACGTAAGTTACACTGTTACTCCTCACAATTCCACACAGGGCAGGTCACAGGGAAGATTGGAAACAACAAACAGCAGGGATCTAGACCGCCACAAGCCCGGGGCAATCCGCGGTCCCAGCCAAAATGGCTAACCGCGTTGCAGGCTGCGTTCAAGCCCTCAAGAAAAACCTGCTAGCTTGATAGGCAGCTAGCTTGCAACTAGGCTAGCTGCTACGCCAAGCAGCTCCTCAGACCCGGCCTTGGTCGGCAGGATCACTGAACAGATAATAGCGGTACCAGCAACTGATGCTAACCGCGTCACGGGATCCAAACTCAAAAGGTAGCTAGCTAGTAACCAAACTTATTCAATAGACTTTCAAAACAACAAACTTTCCAAAACAACAAACCGAGCTCTCCCTCGTTCTGCGACAAAACAAAGGCTGCAAAACATTTCCATACACACAACAGCTGTTAGATACTGCTACCTGACAGATAGCTAGAGGCTAGAGCTGAACTGGCTGTGGTAGCTACTAGCTAGCTAGCTAAATTAGTTCATTCACTTCAGACAGAACTTCAGTCGAGAGGGGATGAAAGATTAGCTAACATTATATGTCAGTTACACTACTAGCTCAGCACTGGGATTTTTTTTTCTTCAGTTAAGTCAAACAGCAGTTACCTTGCCAGCTACATCAGTCAAATAAAGAGTAGCCAATTTCTGTTCTGCTTGCTTTTACAACTCGGAGAAAAAGCACAACACACACAGACAACAGCTGCCTCTGTTCGCACGCTCTGTGGTGTCCGCGTGGTCCTAAATCCAGCCGTCTGAAACCACCAAACAGCCTACCTGACTGCACTGAGGCGTCCTCATGGCCCTAAAGCACACCGATGCCGCTTTTTGTATCACAGTTGAAGTGGCGTGTCATTTATTTATTTATTTTGGAGCGACTCTGACTGAGAAGGAGAGCGAGTCGTTCCATGTCATTTCAGCAAGCCATGACACCCACCATCTGATAGTTCTGAAGTTGTTTATTTAATTGGAGGCGGGTCAGATTGGCATTCCTGGAGCGTTGTTTTGTTGGGGTGTAGTTTTATCTTGGCGAAGTTGGGCTGGTTGATTGCACCCAAATTGGCCGTTTTTAATTGATAGGATTCAGATCATATTTAAGAAATATAGTACCCAACATCCGATTTGGATCAAACTTCTTCCTACCAATGAGTAAGAAATGAATATCAAAAAAATATCAAAAGCCACCCACAGACCCCCCACACCCCATGCCAATCCCACCCCAACATCCAGTATACAGTATCAGTTCTCTGTGTTTGACAAGTAGTAGTCTCCTGTAGCTCAGTTGGTAGAGCATGGCGCTTGCAACGCCAGGGTTGTGGGTTCGTTTCCCACGGGGGGCCAGTATGAAAATGTATGCACTAACTGTAAGTCGCTCTGGATAAGAGTGTCTGCTAAATGACTAAAATGTAAATGTAATGTAAATTTACAGTTGAAGTCGGAAGTTTACATACACTTAGGTTGGAGTCATTAAAACTCGTTTTTCAACCACTCCACACATTTCTTGTTAACAAACGATAGTTTTGGCAAGTCGGTTAGGACATCTACTTTGTGCATGACACAATTAATTTTTCCAACAATTGTTTACAGACAGATTATTTCACTTATAATTCACTGTATCACAATTCCAGTGGGTCAGAAGTTTACATACACTAAGTTGACTGTGCCTTTAAACAGCTTGGAAAATTCCAGAAAATGATGTCATGGCTTTAGAAGCTTCTGATAGGCTAATTGACATCATTTGAGTCAATTGGAGGTGTACCTGTGGATGTATTTCAAGGCCTACCTTCAAACTCAGTGCCTCTTTGCTTGACATCATGGGAAAATCTAAAGAAATCTAAAAATAATTGTCGACCTCCACAAGAAATCAGCCAAGACCTCAGCAAAAATATTGTAGACCTCCACAAGTCTGGTTCATCCTTGGGAGCAATTTCCAAACGCCTGAAAGTTCATCTGTACAAACAATAGTACGCAAGTATAAACACCATGGGACCACGCAGCCATCATACCACTCAGGAAGGAGACGCATTTTGTCTCCTAGAGATGAACGTACTTTGGTGCGAAAAGAGCAAATCAATCCCAGAACAACAGCAAAGGACCTTGTGAAGATGCTGGAGGAAACAGGTACAAAAGTATCTATATTCACAGTAAAATGAGTCCTATATCGACATAACCTGAAAGGCTGCACAGCAAGGAAGAAGCCACTGCTCCAAAACTGCCATAAAAAAGCCAGACTACGGTTTGCAACTGCACATGGGGACAAAGATCGTACTTTTTGGAGAAATGTCCTTTGGTCTGATGAAACAAAAATAGAACTGTTTGGCCATAATGACCATCGTTATGTTTGGAGGAAAAAGGGGGACGCTTGCAAGCTGAAGAACACCATCCCAACCGCAAAGAACGGGGGTGGCAGCATCATGCTGTGGGGGTGCTTTGCTGCAAGAGGGGCTGGTGCACTTCACAAAATAGATGGCATCATGAGGAAGGAAAATTATGTGAATATATTGAAGCAACATCTCAAGACATCAGTCAGGAAGTTAAAGCTTGGTCGCAAATGGGTCTTCCAAATGGACAATGACCCCAAGCATACTTCCAAAGTTATGGCAAAATGGCTTAAGGACAACAAAGTCAAGGTATTGGAGTGGCCATGACAAAGCCCTGACGTCAATCCTATAGAACATTTGTGGGCATAACTGAAAAAGCGTGTGCGAGCAAGGAGGCCTACAAACCTGACTCAGTTACACCAGCTCTGTCAGGAGGAATGGGCCAAAATTCACCCAACTTATTGTGAGAACCTTGTGGAAGGCTACCCGAAACGTTTGACCCAAGTTAAACAATTTAAAGGTAATGCTACCAAATACTAATTGAGTGTATGTGAACTTCTGACCCACTGGGAATGTGATGAAAGAAATTAAAGCTGAAATAAATCATTCTCTCTACTATTATTCTGACATTTCACATTCTTAAAATAAAGTGGTGATCCTAACTGATCTAAGACAGGGAATTTTTACATTTACATTTTAGTCATTTAGCAGACGCTCTTATCCAGAGCGACTTACAGTTAGTGAGTGCATACATTTTTCATACTGGCCCCCTGTGGGAATCGAACCCACAACCCTGGCGTTGCAAGCGCCATGCTCTACTAACTGAGCTACAGGAGGGCCTATTTACTAGTATTAAATGTCAGGAATTGTGAAAAACTGAGTTTAAATGTATTTGGCTAAGGTGTATGTAAACTTCCGACTTCAACTGTATGTTGAGTGAAATTCCTACTGTCACTACTTGACACTGATAGTTAACCCCCCTTTGGTATGACAGGTGATGGTGATTGAGAGCACAGGAAAGAAGCTAATGCTCTATAGGGGTTACCTATGCATGGCAGTTACCCTGGGTCTCCTGACCCTTACACTCTACCTGCAGGTAAGTCAAACCTTAAGCAACACACTGCTCTGTCATCAACTACATAGTATGTGGGTGACATCTTTACCACGAATGGAACAATACTCATTACAAATGAAAGAATGGAATTCTCTGAGGCATGTCATCTATCTCTAAAGTTCACAGAATGTCCCTATATATTATCACTGGGTTACATCAATGTTTTACAGTGGGTGGAAACAACAATGGCTCATTAATAAGTTACACCTTTTGTTGTTTGTTGTTCAGATCCAAGTCTCCTGGATGCCTTACTGCAGTATGGTTCTCATCTTCATCTTCATCTTCTTCTTCTCCAGTGGACCAGGTGGGTCGTATACCCTGACGTATGACTAAGCCAAGCCAAAAAATGGATCAACTTATTTATCTGGTATTTTCATTGTTCATTGCTCCTAGCTGGAGTGACAGTGGCTCTACCTGGAGAAATCTTCAACCAGTCGTTCAAATCAGCTGCCTTCACCATTGGCTGCACCCTCAACTGGCTGGGCCTCTTCCTCCTGGGGATGCTCTTCCCCCTCATAGTGGTGAGCACTTCAGCTTCTCATATCTTATCATATACACAAACCGCAAACAGGTGTAACAGTTGTACCTTAAGTATTATGTGACTCTGAGTACCTCAATTGTAATTACGTAGTAATTACATAGGTAAAGGTACTCTTATTTGATAAGTTCGACCGTGGCAGCTGATGTCACACACATACACTTACAGTACGTTCTTATACACAGGCGAATTTGGACTACTTTTGTTTCCTGATTTTCTTCATCTTCTGTTTCCTGTCTGGGGTGTTTGTGTGGTACAACGTGCCTGAGACCAAGAACTGCACCATCATGGAGATCACGGCCGCGTTTCAGAGGATGCATCCCAACAGGGGATCCTCGGGGGAGGGAAAGACGAGATCTCCTGAACCCAGTCATATCAAGGCATGCACAACCACCAAATTCTGAACACTTGCCATAATCAATGACAGTGTGTCTGACTTGCACATTGTTTTGTCGTTCCTGTTAAAACATTGTCTTTGTGAAAACCCCTCTGTTAACATTTGCCCCACACACCCATGCCATTTCCAGTCTGCTGTCATCTTGATTGCAAATCAATCATTTTGACCTTTAGGATGGTAAGCATCAAATGATAAAACTGTTACCTCTCTGGGTCACCTATTAAAGTAGTTTTAGTAGTGTGAGCAGGCCAAGGTCTCTGTCATTATCAGGCTCTGGCCCCAGGCATACAGACACTAATCAGGGAGGGAGAGGTTTTACATTTACATTTTACATTTTAGTCATTTAACAGACTTACAGGAGCAATTAGGGTTAAGTGCCTTGCTTAAGGGTACATCGACAGATTTTTCACCCAGTCGGCTCGGGGATTAGAACCAGCGACCTTTCGGTTTACCTCTGACACCCACTTGTAAAGTCAGCATACTGTATGTACTTTACTGATGAACAAGGTACATACATTTAGCATGATTCAATCAGCTCGCCTTGAGTCAGCAGGGCTTCCATGCATAGCTTATCTGTCTGATTTATTACACTCACTTTGAGAGTATTTTTTGGAAATGTATGTCTACTGTCACCTATATTCATGAGAAAAAAATATTTTATATATATATACAGTATCAGGCAAATGACAGTCCCACTAAGCCCAAACCAGCTGGGATGGCGTATCACTGCAGAATGCTGTGGTAGCCATGCTGGTTAAGTGTGCCTTGAATTCTAAATACATCACAGATAGTGTCACCAGCAAAGCACCCCAACACCATAACCTTCTCCTCCATGCTTTACGGTGGGAACTACACATGCGGAGATCATCCGTTCACCCACACCACGTCTCACAAAGACACCGCGGTTGGAACCAAAAATCTCCAATTTGGACTCCAGACCAAAGGACAAATTTCCACCTGTCTAAGGTCCATTGCTCATGTTTCTTGGCCCAATCAGGTCTCTTCTTCTTAATGGTGTCCTTTAGTAGTGGTTTCTTTGCAGCAAACCGACCATGAAGGCCTGATTCACACAGTCACTTCTGAACAGTTGATGTTGAGATGTGTCTGTGACTTGAACTCTGTGAAGCATTTATTTGGTCTGCAATTTCTGAGGCTGGTAACTCTAATGAACTTATCCACTGCAGAAGAGGTAACTCTGGGTCTTCCATTCCTGTGGCAGTCCTCATGAGAGCCAGTTTCATCATAGCGCTTGATGGTTTTTGCGACTGCACTTGAAGAAACTTTCAAAGTTCTTGAAATGTTCCGTATTGACTAACCTTCATGTCTTAAAGTAATGATGGACTGTCTCTTTGCTTATTTGAGCTGTTCTTACCATAATATGGACTTGGTCTTTTACCAAATAGGGCTATCTTCTGTATACCTTGTCACAACACAACTGATTGGCTCAAACGCATTAAGAAGGAAAGAAATTCCACAAATTAACTTTTAAGAAGGCACACCTGTTAATTGAAATGCATTCCAGGTGACTACCTCATGAAGCTGGTTGAGAGAATGCCAAGAGTGTGCAAAGCTGTCATCAAGGCAAAGGGTGGCTATTTGAATAATCTCAAATATAAAATATATTTTGATTTGTTTAACACTTTTTTGGTTACTATATGATTCCATATGTGTTATTTCATAGTTTTGATGTCTTCACTATTATTCTACAATGTAAAAATAAAGAAAAACCCTTGAATGAGTAGGTGTGTCCAAACTTTTGACTGGTAGTGTATATATATCCTAATATAAAAGTCTGAAGTAATTTCTTTGTGTGTTGTTTTTGAAAATCGATCAGTTTTGTTCAGATCTCAGAAAACGTGCTATTTGCAATCTCGAGCCAAACGCGCGTCGCCCTCTCTGTGTGTGCGTGTCTGATAACATTATCTCGGTGTTTTAAGCCAACTTCCAGACCGCGGTACGTGTGACCAACCAATTCATAGACAAGATGCGTAGGTCCCAGAGCACCCGCACCCACTTTTAACTACGGAGCCATTACGTTTATTAAGGGGAGTGGTTGTTGTTTACTGACGTGTAGGGACATTCTTTACGCGCACATCTGCGTATTTCACAACTTTAAATGCCTCTCCAATTAGTAGGCTAATAGTGAGATGACAGCTAAGGCTGAGGGGGATAGTGGCATTTGATATGGGTAGCCTCTAGAGAGGCTGAAACAGCGACGACTATGGAGGATCCGACTCGGATTGTGAGAGATCAACCTACTTCAGACCCGAGCGTTTCGCCCGATGTGGCCTTGCTGAAGAACAGGGACTATCAGCACAAGTGAGTTATTTGATGTAGCATAATATTTATTATTACATCCATATATAAGGTACACCCATATATAATCATTTTCCAACGATTTGAAGAAAGGTTATTGTAAATTTGGCCTATCTGGGAGGCCTTCTCTTTCTGACCTAGATTGTAAGAATCACCCATTTCTGTTCTTCCTCCACATTATGGGACAGCTGTTTGGCTGCGGTCTAAAGGAGAAGAGCATCTCAGGTCTTCAGGTTTTCTAACCTTTATACGAGTTCTCATTCACTCAGGTGTAAATCACACTTGGTCTAATGCACACTTGGGCACAATTCGATATCCTCTTACACCAGTGTTAGGTAGACTATTTAACCAATTACTGTCAGTGTCCACCATTCATAGGGTGCTTCAAACCAGATATACTCCATCAGTAAACTTCTTCATACATCCCAGGCACTCACTGTCTCAGAGTGACTGTTCGCTCACATGAGGCTTCCTCAGCAACACACTTCCAGAACAGGAGCTGTCAGGTGAATTATTAACAGCAACTCTATATGTTTGAACTGGCTGCTATTGGCAGGAGCTGGGGAGGGAACGACAGAGGTGTAGGCCACTCAGACAGGAGGGAAATGGGTCTCTCTCCCAGGATGTCAGTGACAGAGACTCCATATCACCTGGTGACACAGGAAACCCCTCTGTGGTTACCTTGTCAACCTGTCATGAATGACTGAACAAAAGCAATCTCTCTTTAGCTAATTTAATGCTATGTTGGGGAAACAATAAATAATGGTAGGGCTAAGGGCACTGGAGTTTTCTGAATACAGCAATCTATTTCTCTCCTTTATTTAACAAAATTATTTGGATGGATTTTGTTATTACATAGGCTATCCATTACTGAAATATAAACCTGTTAATGAAGACTTGAGGGAGTTCTGTGTGGTAGATACTAGAGAGCTAAAGTGATGTGTGAACTGTGCGACCACAGTTTCTGCTACGGCACCACAGACTGCGGAGTTTGATCACATGCAGAGTGTGTTCATTGAGTTGAATCATGATACATTAATCATGGTACGTGACTAATGGTACAAAGTCTTGGAAATCCTTGCCAATACTATAACCGCCTCTTAATAATGTTTTTAAAAAAAGCCTTCACCTTAAATGACCTTCCTCTAGATTAACATGGGTGTCTGAGACTCTTAGTGTGTCTAGCCCATGTTGGCAGGATTGATGACAGATGTTAATGAACTGTTGATATAGTGTAGGATATAGAGCCCGCTACGGCACTACCAACTGATTTGACTGATTGTGTAGCATAAGATATTCTTTAATGGTTGATCCCCAAGAGTTTAGTTGGTGAGGCATATCCCAATTTAACCAGCCCCATTAAGCTCAAGTGGAATGATTCCCATGGTTTGGAGAAATATTAGACTAAATGGCTTTTAAAAATGAAATAACAACCAATCTGATCATGAAGCAAGTTGTCAATTTGTCAAAATGAGTTCTACTCTTGAAGGTTGCATCTATCTGGTCTTAGACAACAGGTCAGATTTAGAGCCACATTGAACCCACCCTGTTCAGTCTTTATAAATGACCCTTGTACAGCTGATTGGGTATCCTGAAAAGCTTCGGCATACCCATATCTGCTTTTCCTCAACTGACCCGTGTTTGTCTCCTAGATATTATCCCCAGAAACTCCAACTGTCAGTCCTGTTTTCCTTTGATTACAGGGTGTTCGTCAATAGAAGTGTAACATTGGAGAACATCAAATGCTATGGCTTTGACATGGACTACACGCTGGCAGGTAGGTTTATTTAGTAGCCCAGTAGACCTACACCAACAAAGAGATGTGCTTGTACTGGTGAAGGGAAAAAAAAAAAGGCAGATATTTTGAGAAAATATGGAAATCTAGTCACTATGTCTCACAGATTTAAGTATATAAGCATACAAATATTGTAACATTTCCACTGATGAATGTACTGACAGTTCATGTGTTCTGTATGTGTAGCGTACAAGTCTCCTGACTATGAGGATCTAGGCTTTGAGTTGCTCCGAGACAGGCTGGTGTCTATAGGCTATCCCCATGAGCTACTGCGTTACAACTACGACCCCACCTTCCCCACTCGGTAAGTTCTCTCATCCTGTTGATCTCACACACATTTGCATGCTGTTTATGTTTACATATGTTTAGTTTGGTAGTAAATAACATGACCCACTACTCACAAAGACATTGGGTAGATGCAAAGCATGGTTAGTTAGCATGGACTCTTCATGGGAGTCTACTTATGAAATGACCCCTAACCATTATTGTTAAGCCATTTGTTGCTCTGTGCAATCTATTTTCTGTGTCCTTGGCCCAGGGGGACACTGCTGGAGAAACATTTTACAATATAATCAGTATAAACAGACATCCTGCAGAGATAGTTTCCCCAAAGGCCTGGTAACAGTATAACAAGATACGTCAAAATAGAGGAGAAATAAAAAGTAACCTACTTATTCTATCAAGAACAGCCACACATCTAAAAGATATCATCTTGCCCTCTCCAATCTATTCCTCTCTCTGCTTATCTCTGTATAACTTTATTCACCCCCATGCTCTCATCCTCTTTTTCATCCCAATCTATCCTCCCTCCTTCCTAGTGGCCTGGTATTTGACACAATGTATGGCAACTTGCTGAAGGTGGACTCCAATGGAAAAATTCTGCTGTGCAGTCATGGCTTCACCTTTCTAAAAAGGTGAGCGCTACATCACAGGAAATACAATAGTGTGTGTGTGTGTGTGGTGATGACTTGTTCTGAGTGTACTCGTTTTCATTCTGTAAAAGGTTGTCCTTGGGTCAACACTGTCACTGAGAACATATCTGCACAATATCTGCACAATCACTTTACAAAGTCATCTAAGCAGGGGAACATTTTACATTTGTACATTTTAGTCATTTAGCACAGGGGTTCCCAAACTTTTTCACTCAGGCCCCCCTTCAGCATTGGGGAACATCCCACGTTAGCTGACATGGGCTAGTTGATCTGGACATTTCTTACAAGTTATAAATAGCTCTCTAAGGTATGCAATGACTGACATAACAAGAGGAAAACTGATGATGCATTACCCAACTTCGAAATTGCACCTTGTGCATTTTACTATTACAACTTTCAAGAGTAAGTTGAAAGCCGGACAGAGTTTCTTAAAAAATACAATTATGAAAATTTAAAAATACAACAGAGGATGTTGGAGACCAAGGGAGCGTGATCCTGACCTCGGTCAGATCCAACTGTGAGCATGTGTCTCAGTAGACCTACATACTGCTGTTATATTCAGCCTTCAACATAAAACAGCCCCCATTGTCCTGGCTCCTTCATGGAGGACTGAGAAATGACTGCAAAATATCTGCATGTTTCACAACCAACATGATACACCACAAGGTGTGCAGGAACGTTACAATGTTTTTCTAAACATTAATTGAATGCAGAATAGCAGCACTATTTTGGAATCCTTCACTCTTCCATTGGCTTACAATGGTGATGTAACCAGCTCACAAATATAAAAAAGTATATTTATATCCAGCACCTGGTGCCATGGGATTTGCGAATGAATGTCTGTATGTGTGTGTTTAGGTGTGTGTTATTGTATGATTGTGTGAGTTCCTTTTGAGTTAATCTTTGTGTTTATTGTGTTGTATGTAGGACTATGTGTATCGTGAAAGACTATATTGATTATACTTCAGTTGGACATGTATACAGAGGGCACTTGGGCCTGCCCACCCTCCATTCATAAATCAGGCTTTAGATGCCTTTGGGATCCCCTACCAGCAGCTAAGCTATCGAGAGGCTCCGGTTCCATTTCAAATCCACTCAATATCCATTGCATTTCTGCCTCATACTCTTGCAGTGAGGCAGACAGTAGTGATGCTTCAATGGCGAAGGCCTGTGGATGTTTCTACAGTGAGGGAAAAAAGTATTTGATCCCCTGCTGATTTTGTAAGTTTGCCCACTGACAAAGAAATGATCAGTCTATAATTTTAATGGTAGGTTTATTGAGAGATAGAATAACAACAAAAAAATCCAGAAAAACGCATGTCAAAAACGTTATAAATTGATTTGCATTTTATTGAGGGAAATAAGTATTTGACCCCCTCTCAATCAGAAAGATTTCTGGCTCCCAGGTGTCTTTTATACAGGTAACGAGCTGAGATTTGGAGCACACTCTTAAAGGGAGTGCTCCTAATCTCAGCTTGTAACCTGTATAAAATACACCTGTCCACAGAAGCAATCAATCAATCAGATTCCAAACTCTCCACCATGGCCAAGACTAAAGAGCTCTCCAAGGATGTCAGGGACAAGATTGTAGACCTACACAAGGCTGGAATGGGCTACAAGACCATCGCCAAGCAGCTTGGTGAGAAGGTGACAACAGTTGGTGCGATTATTCGCAAATGGATGAAACACAAAAGAACTGTCAATCTCCCTCGGCCTGGGGCTCCATGCAAAATCTCACCTCGTGGAGTTGCAATGATCATGAGAACAGTGAGGAATCAGCCCAGAACTACACGGGAGGATCTTGTCAATGATCTCAAGGCAGCTGGGACCATAGTCACCAAGAAAACAATTGGTAACACACTACGCCTTGAAGGACTGAAATCCTGCAGTGCCCGCAAGGTCCCCCTGCTCAAGAAAGCACATATACAGGGCCGTCTGAAGTTTGCCAATGAACATCTGAATGATTCAGAGGAGAACTGGGTGAAAGTGTTGTGGTCAGATGAGACCAAAATGGAGCTCTTTGGCATCAACTCAACTCGCCGTGTTTGGAGGAGGAGGAATGCTGCATATGACCCCAAGAACACCATCCCCACCGTCAAACATGGAGGTGGAAACATTATGCTTTGGGGGTGTTTTTCTGCTAAGGGGACAGGACAACTTCACCGCATCAAAGGAACGATGGACGTGGCCATGTACCGTCAAATCTTGGGTGAGAACCTCCTTCCCTCAGCCAGGGCATTGAAAATGGGTCGTGGATGGGTATTCCAGCATGACTATGACCCAAAACACACGGCCAAGGCAACAAAGGAGTGGCTCAAGAAGAAGCACATTAAGGTCCAGGAGTGGCCTAGCCAGTCTCCAGACCTTAATCCCATAGAAAATCTGCGGAGGGAGCTGAAGGTTCGAGTTGCCAAACGTCAGGCTCGAAACCTTAATGACTTGGAGAAGATCTGCAAAGAGGAGTGGGACAAAATCCCTCCTGAGATGTGTGCAAACCTGGTGGCCAACTACAAGAAACATCTGACCTCTGTGATTGCCAACAAGGGTTTTGCCACCAAGTACTAAGTCATGTTTTACAGAGGGGTCAAATACGTATTTCCCTCATTAAAATGCAAATCAATTTATAACATTTTTGACATGCGTTTTTCTGGATTTTTTTGTTGTTATTCTGTCTCTCACTGTTCAAATAAACCTACCATTAAAATTATAGACTGATCATTTCTTTGTCAGTGGGCAAACGTACAAAATCAGCAGGGGATCAAATACTTTTTTCCCTCACTGTAGCTCTAGATCGAACTTCAAAACACCTACAAAAGCTGCAATTGACAGAATCTAAATGTGTAAATGCTGGTATTTTCAAATGACACCCTAACATAGTCATGAGACTCAAAGAGAGGTCTTGTCATTGATAGTGCTGGTGGGTTAAGTGCCCTCTGGATGTTATCTGTTGGCTCAGTGGGTTCTCCCAGAATGACTCATCATCTGGAAATGCTCCAATAGCAACTTTTTGGTGTTATTGGGGAGGTTGTCAGACAGAGTGTGTACACAGTATGCATGTTTTTGTCATGATACATGTCTTTGTATGCGTCTGTGGCTACTTCCCGGGACCACTCATATGTAAAATGTATGCATGCATGACTTTAAGTCGCTTTGGATAAAAGCATCTGCTAAATGGCATATATTATTACTCTTAATTTGCTAGTTGTATGAATACTTTCCTTCTCTACAGGGACAAGATCCACGACTACTACCCCAACAACTTCATTCAGAGAGGCAACACTGACCGCTTTTATATCCTCAACACTCTCTTTAACCTTTCAGGTAGCAACAACAGTATTACTTTCTGTAGTTCTGTACAATCATACTGCAAAAAAAGTCAAGTAGAATGACTTTGTAATGCCCTCCTGCTCCTCCCACAGAGACATATCTGTATGGCTGCCTTGTGGACCTCTTCACCAGATGTAGCAGATATGTAAAGTGAGTGGCTATTTTTCTCCCCCCTCTTCTCGTTGACCCTCTCTTTTTCTCTACAGTTGTGAGAATTGTAAATCATTAAAAAGAAGAGAATAATGTGACTGTCGTTTCTCTGCTCTTTTGTTTTTCAAAGCTGCCAGAAAGGCTTCAAACATGGTGACTTGTTCATGTCATTCAGAAGCATGTTCCAGGATGTTCGAGATGCAATGGACTTTGTTCATGATACGGTTAGCATTATAATGTACATACCAGGCCATCCCGACACATATACACACACACACATTATGAAACATTACTGTCTGTCTTTGCGGAAAGACTGACTCCTTTTTGTCATATAGGGCACTCTGAAGGAAAGCACTCTGAAGAATTTGGATAAATATGTCGTCAGAGATGTGAGTGAAAATAACTTTGAACCTCCCTTAATTGCTGTTCCATATTGGATACCTTTTATGGATACAGTATATTGTCAAAGTGCTTTGGACATAATTTCTCTATCCAGAGGAAATTACCCTCTCCTTTACTTCCTTCTCTTTACAGCCAAACTTGCCTGTTCTCCTGACTCGCATTAAGGAGGTGGCCAAAGTGTTCCTGGCAACCAACAGTGACTACAACTACACGGAGGTCAGTTGTTAATGTTGCATGGTTTCATGGCACATGATGTCCATTCTATTCAAAACATGATGTCCATTCTATTCAATACATGATGTCCATTCTATTCAATACATGATGTCCATTCTATTCAATACATGATGTCCATTCTATTCAATACATGATGTCCATTCTATTCAATACATAATGTCCATTCTATTCAACACATGATGTCCATTCTATTCTATACATGATGTCCATTCTATTCTATAAATTATGTCCATTCTATTCTATAAATTATGTCCATTCTATTCTATAAATTATGTCCATTCTATTCAATACATTATGTCCATTGTATTCAATACATGATGTCCATTGTATTCAATACATGATGTCCATTCTATTCTATAAATGATGTCCATTGTATTCCATAAATTGTCCATTCTATAAATGATGTCCATTCTATTCAATACATGATGTCCATTCTATTCTATACATTATGTCCATTCTATTCAATACATTATGTCTATTCTATTCGATACATGACGTCTATTCTATTGTATTATTTTTCACATGAAGGATGTGTCTTTGTTCTTTTTCTTAGGCTATCATGAAATACTTGCTTGAAACTCCACCAGGTGCCAAGGTTAGTCTAGGTGTCTCCAGTTTCAAATTAAGGAAAAGGGTTTGGGGAACAAATTAACATTAATTCTAATGAACATTTCAATATTTATTTTCTTATAAGTACCCAAAGAAACCGTGGCGTGCATTCTTTGACCTTGTCGTCGTGGATACCAGGAAGCCACAGTTCTTTGCAGAGGGAACTGTGCTGAGACAGGTAGACACGGTAAGGCACTTTGACTCATCATTACATGGTGTGTATAGAAAACATAATTTAACACACCACACAATTAGATAAATGTTCTAATCTATCCAACATAGAACACAGGGAAGCTCCGCATCGGAACATACACTGGAGACCTCCAGCATGGAACGGTCTACTCTGGAGGTAATAATTGTTATTTTTCATATTATGATAAAAAATAGGTAATATATTCTAGGAAGAGGGACAGAGAGGAAATGGGAAGCTATGAGATTGAGATGGGAGAGGAATAGTGTGTTTCACCCATCTTGGTTTCAGTGGGTGTCACATCTCCTTTCCATCCTCTTTTATCTGTCCATTTCTCCCTCCATCTGTCTCTCCTCCCTGCAGGCTCCTCAGACATTGTGTGTGACCTGCTGGACGTGAAGGGGAAGGACATCCTCTATGTGGGGGACCACATCTTTGGGGACATCCTGAAGTCTAAGAAGAGGCAAGGTTGGAAGACCTTCTTGGTAGTGCCTGAGCTGGCCAAGGAGTTGCAGGTGTGGACAGAGAAGAGCCGTAAGTACAAACATGGTCAACCTCCTCTTCATGACCTCAGTGACCCTAACACTGACCTATCATATACCACACACAGACATCACATGGCCACCTTACATACATTATGTTAGGTAATGTAATCTTGAAGTTGAGGCCACCATTTTGACGAGTGTTTCTCTTTTTTCTCAAGATCTCTTTGAAGAGCTGAAGCGTCTTGATGTGTATTTAGCTGAGTTGTACAAGTGAGTGGGCATTTCCTCTGTTATATGAGTGACACTTGTCTAGTATTGCATTTGACAGAGATTGCATTATGTTGTTCATCTGGCTGGCCTTTCCCCTCAGGCACCTAGACAGTAGCTGTCGAGATCGTCCAGACATCAGTGCCATTCAGACCAGGATGAAGGTAAACCATGCCCACTGACACATAATCCCTCTCTGAGAAATGCTCTAACACATCGTCCACCGAGGTTATGTTTTTATGTGCTTCCCAGGCATATTTATCTGAAATGTTTTCATAATTACACCTGAGTGAGAATTTCTTCGTCTGGCTTTATGGTGTATTTCAATGTGCTGCTAACTGCATTTTGTGTCTTACAGGTGGTGATTTATAGGATGGATCTTTCCTACGGCCAGATGGGCAGCCTTCTGCGAAGTGGCTCCAGACAGACTCTGTTCGCCAGCCAGCTCATGCGTTACGCTGACCTGTACTCTTCCACCTGCATTAACCTGCTCCACTACCCCTTCAGTTACCTGTTCAGGGCCCAACCTGTCCTGGTGAGTTCCTGTTCAGATATTCCTGTGATAATAACAGGGACATGCATCTACTCTTTCATCAAATCCCTTGCTGAAATTACCATGAAAAAACATGGATTTTTCCCCCCTGATGCTGTCCAGATGCCCCATGAGTCCTTGGTGGATCATCACCCCCTTAACTTCCCCTCACCTGAGTTCTCCGCTCTGGATCATGTCCAGAAGATAGCTGAAGCCAAGGTTTGACACTCATACCTACAGCTATCTGTTATTTACAAATGTTGCGTTTTCTGTTTAAATAAACACTATTTATCTGTTAAAATAAACAGTCTAGATTTAAGCCCTGAAAAAGTATATCTTTGTTGTCTCTATCTTCCATTGTCCATATTGATTTTAAAATATAACCTTTCTGTTCTTAGAGGGCGAGTGAACAAGATAACACAGCAGAACTGAAAGACATGTGAGGATGTATTTACCAAAACAATTATTCTGTTATTCCGACTGTTCCTCCATATCTCAAAAAAGGTGGCTGTGTGTTTGTTTTGACTGGCAATTAATTCCATCTTCTTTTTTATTTATAAACTGGGTGGTTGAGCCCTGAATTATGATTGGCTGAAAGCCATGGTATATCAGACCGTATACCACGGGTATGACAAAACATTTAGTTTTACTGCTCTAATTACGTTGGTAACCAGTTGATAATAGCAATAAGGCACCTCGGGGGTTTGTGGTATATGGCCAATATACCACGGCTAAGGGCTGTGTCCAGGCACTCCGCAACAGTCCTTAGCCATAGTATATTGGCCATATACCACAACACCTCGGGCCTTATCGCTTAAGTATAGCGCCACCTGCTGTAAGACAGTTTTTACAGTATGTCAAGGGGGGAAGACAACTTGGATATGTCACTGATTCTAGGTTACTGTTTAAGTTAATATTTGTTATTATTCATCTGTTTTTATGTGTGCTTATCTATTTAGCTACAGTACTTTTACACGTCCTATTTGCAATACTGATTTTGTTCCCTGTGCGAATGTATATAAACTTCAATTAGCATGTAAACTGAAACATGCTCAGTGACCATTTAAATGTCAAGTGTTTGTGGTGAATTATTATGCAGGTTGGCTCATGTAGCCTATGTTCAATAAGTATGTAACTAGCTCTGTGGTGGGCATTCTTGTGTGGTGGTTAGTACGTGACCATGGTTAGGTGGATTTATGACAATTATAACATGAACCTATCAGTGACAAAAAAACAAAAAGAATGACTCTTGTTGGCTACTCTTCATACCCTACATTGTATTAGAAGCCTACCCTAGCCTATGGGGGCTATGTAATTAGGTGTTCGTCCTAAAGATTAATAAATAAGTAATAAATAAATAAATAAATAAAAGTAATGAGTCCAAAACATTTATCCTTTCTATAACGGTGAAACAAAATTACAGCGTAATTTCAACAATAATTTGAATGTAACAAACAAGGCTCTTGAGGCGTACTGACGCCCTTTGCCCATTGGATGGCAGCAAATCGCTGTTCTGTGCAAAACGCTTGCAGCCCACTGTATGCAAACCTATGGGATGTAATTTACATCGAGACGTCCCACTGGGCACACACTGGTTGAATCAACGTTATTTCCACGTAATTTCAATGAAATTACGTTGAACCACCGTGGAATAGACGTTGAATTGACGTCTGTGCTCAGTAGGTTGTAAGCACTATAGGCCCAATGTGTTTCTTCCACATTCAAAATAAATTACATGGATTAGGAACCCTTTACCCTCTAAAGCACTGGTCCATTGAAATGTGAAGTGAATAATACAATTGAATGAATAAAATGACATGAGTATTGAATGTTCAACTAGGCATACCGCTTCATATTGAGAATGGCCCAATGCATGTTTTTTGCCCCCTTGCCTCTCGCCAAATCGTAAAAAATCCAACATCCGATTACTGCATTTCCTGTCAAAATAATAATTTTCTTAAGGATTTGCTTTTGGTAATACAGATTCATAGGCAGCAATTTAAGCACTTTAGCTGTAAGTGTCCATGGGCCAATAACATTTGTATTGCCTAGTAATCATTCATTACGTTTTCAGCAGATGTAAGTTATTTATTTAACCAACCTTCAAATTATAAAACAAATATAGGGCTAGTTATAGGGTATTGAATACATGTCATACATGTAGTAACCTGGGCCTAATTGGTATTTACCGGTTGAAAACATATGGCATGCTCTTCCTATAGCCTTTTAACTGCAAAAGGTGGCCCCATAGATGTTGGGGCTGGGTGACGTTCGGGAACACGGGCGCGTAACATGTGTGTTCACTTTGCCCTTGTTCCTCATTTTTCCGGGTCCTTTCTATAGAATGACCAATCACTTCAGTTAGCCTTGACTATAGTGACTATAGCTACACAATATTTAATTGCATATCGTTCATTTTCAAGAAAAAAACTGTCAAAGGCAATGTGGCCTTTACAAATAGCCTACAATTTACCAAGTAGATCTATAAATAAATTAAATACGAATGATTATTTAACTGTACAATGAAGACCACTTTCAATGATTAATCAAATTATTCAGACACAATGTAATAACTCCCCATATCCTAAATAATGACAAAATTAAAATAAAGTCAGAGATCTAAAGAAAAGTAATAGCACTATGACAACAGTTCATATTAACCTAATGATTACATTTTTGCAGTTCTATGTTTTGTTATTTTGATCAAATAAACCATGCTAACAGAGCAGACCAACACAAAACTCTGATTAAAACATTTTATTTACTACACACAACAAATGCACTCACTCAAAAGCATCACTTTTAACATTATGAGACTTAACATTAAAATAAACGTGTTTTTTTTGTGAATCAATTGGAGTACATTGTGTCTCACACAGCCTTGTGAGTCCTCTGTATGACTAGCTAATTAACTCATTAATTTATCCTCTGCAGTTAAAGGGGTGTAGTAGGGGTTGCCTGCGCCACACACAAGTGGTGCTCCCAAACACAAATCTGTTGGATTCAGTGCAGGACTCTCAGTGCTCTACCCAGTCAGGTATGACAGCAGACGCACCACCGTCCCGCATTCCAGGATTTCCCAGAAAGCATTGCAAGCAAGCCTCAACAGGTCACATTCTTCACTCTGGGGGAATTTTGCACAGTCAAGTGGCTGAGCTAGATCTGCTCCACCTTACTAATACCGTCTGACTTCAATTCAGTGTGAAATCAAATCAATGATCAACAAATATCTTGTCCCTCCCTCAAGCAAACAAAGTCACTTTTCCATTGACAAAGCCTGGGAAAGTAGCTGCAGAAACATCAAATAGGCTCAGTGACAGAAAAAGCATAAACCAAATGTATTAATGGGACTGTAAGCACAGGCTGGCAGTTGATAGGGTTTTATTTTTTAAATAGAAAGATATAAACAACAGTGGGCATACATTACACCAACATTGTGTGACACTGATCAAGGTGCTTTGGCTTGAGATCTTCTCCAACACTAAAACTTTTTCTCTGTACTGTTAAGAAATTGTTGACTCTTCCACTGAAAGTGAATTGCATTTGGCAGTTGAATGTTTGCTTAAACATACATTTGATTTAGTTATGAGCAAAAAAAATACCTATGTTTATAATGATTTTGAAGCAGAACATAATTTCCTGATGACACTCACAACCAACTTTCCTAGCAGTCTGATCCTTTGAAGGTCTCCCAAATGACACACACACACACAGGAGCGCTCCCTGAGCCCCCATCCCACAGCTCACCCCATCCCCCACCATCAGCATACACTGAACAGGACCTGCCTCCCTGCATTCCTCCAGAACACTCCCCTCCCCCACCGACCTGCCTGCCACTACAAAGGATGCTCAAACACACACACATCAATTCTCCCCTATATAACCTTTTCTCATTTACTTTGGGGGAACTTACATGTGGGTACACAACAACATATTTTTACTAAGTTACTGTATATTACTTTCTAAACCAGCTTTAAGACACAAAAAGTGAAGCCTTCAAGAGCTATTTTGAAAAGGCCAGATATTTTAGAAAACATAAAGAATCTGAATAAAAAGTAAATAACTCATTTTTTTGTCTTGCCTTTAACTACATTGAAATATTTTCAGTCTTAGGGTGTTTTGTAAGTCATTTATTTCCTAATGTATACAGCTGTGTTGTACATAGATGTTTTATTTGCCACTATAACTACGTGGAAAATATATTTTAGTCAACACACTTCAATTAAATTAGGATACTGGAGTGAGGTCATTTAAACTTTTTACAGTGACTTATAGGCTGTTCTAAGAAAAACACACTGTGGCCACGAGGTGACTACTATTGATTTATGAATTACTTCTAATAATTCTGAAACACCGACGTTGAAATCAATATAAAACTATTCCTGTCTCTCCCAGCATCCCCTTACCACCAATTCAGAGAGAGCTGAGGCCAAATGCTATGACAATACTATTGCACTGCTAGAATGAATGGTACAGTAGTGCAACATTGTCAAAGCAGCTGACCTCAGCATGTGTCAGCACGTGGACATGGGGACAGCCACTCTCCATTGCCAATAGAAGACAACCAGCTAAAGCTAAACTACTTTTACATAAGCAGCAATGTCTAGCTCACATTTCCCATCAATAGTTTGGACATTACTTGGGTGGTTAGATAACCATAAAATAGAATCTACATTCAAACCTAACAGTTTTTCAGATACCTGTACACACCTAAGGTAAAATGATAATGCCTGCAAAATACTGTCTAATTGACTTGTATCATGTGGGCACAATAATATAAATCAAAAGCTATAAAGCTGTACTGACTTAAAATCTTCTGACAGTGATCCACATGTTCAACTTCAGAAACATCACAAGTTTAATCTTTGTAAAGAAGTTATTAAGGAGCCTTATATTTAGTGTTCCTGTAGCCTCACACACACCCACATGCACATGTGTAGGCCCCTCATATTTATTGCCTGTCAACTCAGAGGGGTGAGGGGTTAAGGCAGAGGGAGGTGTGGGTCTCCGTTTCATCAGCCAATGCCCTTTTAATATTGCACTGCTCATCTCAATACCCAGTAGTACAATAGAAAAGGGGCAATGGACGACAACATGGACACCATCAGCCTCATCTGAAGATAGTAGTGCTTCTTACTCCAATCCTGTTCCTCCATGACACTGTCAAACAAGCACTGGCTGATCAACTCTGACGTGTAAGAATCACTGACCAGTTTAACAACAATAGGCTACTACTCCATACTTTCATGTTGATTTGTAACTTCACAAAATATACAATGTTAAGAGAGACTCATTATAGTTAACACCAAGTAGTTTAGGAAATGCAGCAATTTGAAAAAGGAAAGTACTCAGAGTTATCAATAAGTAGTTTCTGGAGACAACTCAGGAAAAAACATGCATGTTTGCTGACAAATCTTATCAAGTTGACTACCTGCCCTCTTTCTCGCAAACAATATTTTAAGGGAGGCTTATTTTACCAGAACTGGATTAAAGCATCATTATCACATGCAGATATAGGTTCTTAATATGATCACCATGTTGCAGGAGAATGTTCCTGCAATGCAGGAAATTTAAAAC